TTATTAGCTCTAGCATAACGATTACTACATTGAGATACACCACCTCTGATACCTGATCTAATAAATGCAATTTTCTCATAATCTGTTAAAAGTTCTAATTCTATTTTTGTATATTTTAACATTGCATCCCAACTTAAACCGGGTGCTGTGTAATAATGGACAGGGTCTAAATCATATGTATTAATACATAACTTTCTAAAGTTTTCAAATACATCGGATAAAAGTAAAACGTCTGTTTTTAAATACAGGTTTGAATAATCTAGCATATTACAACACCCAAAATGTTCCCAAACATCTTTAGCATGATTGTAATCATCATTTGAAATATGTGAATCTGTGAGTGAACTATAAAAACATTTTTGTTCAGGGAGCGATGTTAGACTTAAGCTATCATAATTAGTCATAAGTTCATATGGATAAACACCTTTCCGTTTTAAACGAAAGAAATCTTCATCATTAGGGTAATTTCTAGGTAATTCTTGAAATTGATCATTACTGAGATTTTTGGCCAATTCTTCTAATTTACACGATAAAAACTTAAATGAATCTAAGAATCTCAATATAATTTCGTGGTTATTCACTTTTAATTTTTTGGAAAAGGATATATATTTTTCTTTATTTTGAGGGATAACTTCGACTTCACCATCACAAAAGTTTAACGCGTGGACAATAAAATGAGCATCATAGTGACTAAGGTTGTGTAAAAATATTGGTATATAACGAGGTGTTCTGATCTTCGAACAACATGATTCATGAGCAACACCTATAAAACTACCAGTGTACCAATCAAAATCATAAAAATGTTTTGCCAACTCAGTTTCACAAATATGACAAATGGTTGCATTTGAAATTTGGTTTTTAACTTCATTTGTTAGCGGAAGTGGTGGATATTTTTGAAGTCTATTTATTTCTTTTAGATTGTTAGATAAACTTTCCATAAACACTTGTGCACAGTTGGGTCCGCAATATGTTACATATTTTGATAATTTATCATCATATGAACATTTTATATAATATCCAAAACTATGTACTTCATGTTTCTGAATATTACGAGTGAAAGGCTTGGAAGGATCGTTAGAACATGATTCTATTGGTTTTAAAAATGCTTCAAAATCAGCATAAACTACGAATGGTATCTTTAACTTTTTTTCATAACTATCAAATTTAATTTTATCATTTGAAATAGGTTGACCAAACCAATTCTTTTTTTTTTAAAGTTTCACTGTTTGGTAATACTGTACAAATGTGGGCACAATCGTATTGTTCATGGTTATTTAACCTTTCCTGAGATGGAAAACGAAGTAGACATGCTTCACAAATGTACATGATGTGACCGTCTTTTGAAATTTGTTTACTAACTAACCGCGATAAATTTTTTATATAGCAATAATGATTTTTTGTATCCTAAGAAAAAAATAATAAATTGATATGTCTATCTTTACGACACTTTGTTAAAAATAATGGACCTACTATAGAATTACATCGTTTTTCTTTATTATATTCTAACCCAAAAACATTAATACTAATATCATTTAATTTCTCTACTTTTGCTATGTCAGAAATTTTAACCGGAAAGGAAATACCATCAAATTTAAGTTTATTTGCATGTTTAACGTACGATGATACCCGATCGGTGTGTTTGTTTACAGGATATAACGCCGAGAGTAACGCCCATTTAAAACAAAAATAATCCTTGTTTTTTACATTTATAACAGCCTTTTTTAATTTTATGTCACGAGGAAGATCTATGTATGAAGTACCGCGTAGGGGGTTAAATTTATTAACATTCATGTCTATAGATTTTATGTTTTTGGACTCCATCCACTATCTTTTTTTTCGAAAGCACTAATTTTAGTAGTAATTGTATCATTTAAAGATGAAAGAAAAATATTTAAGTCATCTCCTTGACAAATAATATAGTTAAGCGTTTGAAAATCGAACGTATCATGAATATCTTTAGTTTGTTGAACAAAATCAGCATGCAATATGAAGTTTACCTTAAAAATTATGTGTTGATGAATACACTCTTGTAATAAAAATAAAATATCATCTTTAATAGAATTTAAAAATAGTTCAGGAGTTTCAAAATTTACCCATGTCGAACGATCTACTCTACTCTTGATTTTATAAGTTAAAATCCTATTTCCAAAAGCAGATTCAATAACACTAACGTTTGATAAAGAATTATGTGAATTTAAAAGATTATTTTTATGAACATTACTTTTAAAATGATTAGCTAAATACCGTTTCTTGATAAATATATGGCACGTTGGACATTCCACTTGATCATCGTTACTGATACTGTTCCCTGCAGAGGTATGCGCTTCTGCTTCCGTTGTTGGTTTTTTGATGATCTTGGATTCTTTGCTGCACTTTCGCTTCGTTCCTCTTCCAAGTTGTAGTGGTTGACTGCTAAAATGTTTAAATTTATTAAAAACTGTATAAGACAATATGTAAATTATGATCGAAATGAATGTTTATTTTACATACTTAAACTGTGTTTCAACCATCGCACAGTGATGATACAACTCATCATCGTATGACGAATCGAACAGTTGACCCCTCTCCATTTCTTCACAAACTTTAGACAACTCCTGATTTAATTCGCTATTGAATAGTTCCGTATTCTCTTCCATGATTGTGGAGAAAAAAGCACTGGTGCACACTTCACTGAAGTTTTCCCTTCCTCTTTTTTATTTTTGATTCAGCTTCAAAAAAATGATCAATCGATTGCGATTTTCTTTTTCCACCATCGCATGTGTTATTATTAATGACGAGGTTATCACTCTCTTCTTGAGGGGAGAGTGGCGAGTAGTAATACTGTTTATAGGTATCTTCATCGAAGCTCAATGATTTCTGCAACAACACAGTTATCATGTTAATATCAATTTGTTAACACTTAATCATAAAAGTTAAAAAAGTTAAATTTACAGCCTATTAAAGTCCACTGCTGAACATAGGCCTCCTCTCATTTCTGAGAGGGTTTTAGAGCAAGGAAATGTCCGCCGCGCTCCCTCAATGTGTGTTGGCGAACTTCACATGCCTTCGAAATTTTCTCAGACATGCAGGTTTCCTCACGATGTTTTCCTTCACCACCAAGCACGTGGTAATAAGCACTTAAAATTGCGATTAACAATTTAATTGGTGCTGGCGGGGATCGAACCCGGGTCGCGTACTGTGAAATTTACAGCTAGCGCTAACCATCTGAGTTACCACGGCTTAATCATATACATACACAATATTTAAATAAAATAATACACACACATGAAAATAACAGAAAAAAAGTAATTTAGTCAATAGAATAAACACGTACATCCATAGCCTTTGGTGTATTGAAGTAACACAAATGTACTATTGATAGATCCACTGTAGTCAAACGACCGTACACTAACTCGATGACTACGTCTGTTGGTCTTATATACCACCAGTACGTAAAAATTCTAATCTAAAGTATTTCCGTAATGAGTTGATAATTACTTTATGCGTCAACCAGTTTATCTCACATTTCCGTTGTCTATCTCAACATTTCTTCGTATTGTGTTTTGTTTGGTGATCAATGACTCAAGTACGATTTGTATAACACAAAAATGCAATTTAATATTTAGAAACATATCAGTTTATCTCACATTTCCGTTGCCTATCTCAACATTTCTTCGTATTGTGTTTTGTTTGGTGATCAATGACTCAAGTACGATTTGTATAACACAAAAATGCAATTTAATATTTAGAAATCACTATAATTGACCATTCCTATGTTATTCATTGAGTAGATTGGTACTGTAATAATCTACTAATAGCAGTAATATCATGGATACACTAGATGTACAACAACATCTGAAAAAGATTCACCCCAGTCTAGAAAATAATGTTTATGCAGCTAATAGACTGCCTATGTATACCCACGTACCAACGTATATAATATGCAATTTGGATACAGATGATAAACCAGGGTCACATTGGGTAGCTTTATATATCGATACGAATGACGTCGGTCAATATTTTGATTCATATGGACGATCACCTGTACGATATCATCTAGAGTTTTTAAAAAGGAATTGTAAAAGATGGAACTGAAATGTTGATAGGATTCAGAATGAGTGGACTTCAGTTTGTGGCGAATATTGCTTAATGTATTTGCTATATAAGTTTCAGGGATGTTCAATACATAGTTTTACGAGTATATTTACAAGGAACACATTGTACAACGATATTTTAGTGGATGAGATGTTTCGCTCCTATTTTATAGATAATAAGTAATAAGATTTTGTATTTTATAAATAAAAATTGTAACAAAATTATGTAATGTGTTTTATTGATGATTCAGATTAGCGTTGTATAATTAGGAACAAAGAAGTATAATACAATAGCACTGATATAGTCGACGCACACGCTGCAATGAAGGTGATTAATGAACAATAGAACAATAGAAATAGGAACAATGGGACGCTAATGACGGTGGAGGCCCTTACCGGATATCAATTAGATATTAGCTAATTGATCTACACATCTCCGGAACCGTGCATTTTACACAAAAATGGACCGCGGATTCGTGATCAGAGCATGCCAAAACCTTTTTTTTTTTTTTTTTTAGGATTTGGTGTCGACGAAAGTCGTTGAACCACGTCTGACTCAGGTGGTCTAGAAGTGGTACAACTACACTACTTACCTATCAGTAAAAAGGTTTGGATACTCCTCAAGCACCAAACAAACCCGCATTATGCTGCTACTCGTATTTTACGCTGCGGTTCTGAGAGAGCGTAGTCCGAGTGACCCATTTCAACCATAATACATGCGGCGTGGTTTCACTGTATATTTTTATTCTGTGATCAGTTGACTTTTACAGCTTCATCAGATTTAGTAGTAGATCTATTAAGTATATCTATTTGCCCTTATACTATTTATTAATGATAAACAATAAGATGTTCAGTTCAGTATGCTGACCATTGGACCATGCATATGTCTATTTAAGTAATTTTACAACATTTATACATTTTGTTTACCTCCTTCTGATGATTACACCATTTTACATAGAAGTCTTCAGACAACAAGGGAAATTTTGGCGGCTGGAAAAAATATTAATTGTAAAGCTTTGATAATCATTTTTCTATCTATCTATTACTATAATAAAACTCTAACACGACGTCTGTCTGAACAAGCATCACGCAAAATACCTGTGAACAGTATTTTGCGTGATGCGTGTTGGATGGGAGTTTCAATGGCAGATAGCTGATATTGTAAGGAGTAACTTAAGCTACTTTTATTTTAGGAAAAGAATTATGGCTCCGCGCAAATAAAATTAAAGCTCATAAAATCCAATCGCAATAAATTCCACGCGAGCGAATTCGCAGAAAAAGATAGTTTAGATTGTATTAAGTAAGTGAATATATGATATAAGCAAGTTTTTTGGCGCTAATTACTAATTACAGGTATCAAGACTTTCAATCATTGCCTTTTTTATGGAGTTCCAATTGTGTTGTAATAAACATAAATAATCTTATAATTAGAAGCAAAAGTAAAAATAGGTAAGTAGTTCGTAAAGTGGGAAAAAAATCTGTCTCATCTTACGAGTGTCCTAAAAGGCGATTATGGACCATTCTAGAAAGATCTCATGCTTTAGACAGATTGGCGACGGGGGCAGCGTCAAAGGTGCCAGACGAGTACTGAGATTGCCAAATCGCCTGCCAAGCGTAGCGATTACAGGAAATCCTTCTTCCGAGAGAGACCTATGTCCAGCGCTGGATTTTAGCGGGTTGGTAAAGAGGTAAGAAAAAAGGTACACCCATGGAATAAAATATATGTGTAAAGGATTAAATTCACATAGGTGTACATACTAATTTTTACAAAAATTTCAAAACGTTTAAGTGTTTTCATTTCTTTAAAAAGTTAAAGCCAAACATTGAAGATAGTAAGAGGACGTAGCCTCCGAAGAATGGTGTAATAAAAGCTTTTTTTGTTTACTTGTAAATTCATTTTAATTTACATGACAGTTAAAATTGTTTTAAAAACAATTAAATTCAGTTTGAACTTTTTTGGACCGTTCTGCGGTAGCCTTTGTAACTGGTTAATGATGTATTCGCTTACTTTGTAAATAATCATTGAAATTAAAAATAAAAAGCTAACGAGTTTAAATTCTCTGGGCTTGCGGACGCGTGGTGGGCGCGGCCGCTCGGGCTCCGGCGGCGGCGTACGTAAAAGCGGGTGTTCCAGCAGATCATCACAAGCGCGCTCTCGTAGCGGGTGCATGGCAGAATCACAAAGCGAAACTTAAACATAATTTATTTTGTATCAAATAACACAATCTATCCAATATTTAAAATGATATATATGTGCACGGATCTTCTCTTATTTTTGTAAGGGTGGCCCCCTTCAGCTGAGCCGGAAAAATCTACCATGCTACTTCAGTGCGTTGGAAGTTCGTTGGTCCTGGAAATTTTATTTTATAATTTTACTTTTCAGACAAGCAGCTTTCTCATATCTTCAAATTTTGTTCATACCGGCGATCATGTGGGTAATGCCCCTTTTAATTGAACTTAAGATATAATTGCCTTCATAAAATTTAAAATAAGTGCTTAGTAATGAAGGACTTAATTACTAAATTTTGCTTTGGGGCCCTAACCCTAACTTAAACATTTGACCGTATTACAATTCTTTTAGTGCATCTTCTCTGTTTTCTTGTATTATTTGTATTATTGAAAATAGTTCATATTTATATAAAATAAGTTTAATCTGTTAATGTCGTCTGAAAATTTCAGACAACATAATTTTCGGAAAACTTCGAACATTTGATTTATTTTTTATCGTTATTTACCTACGTTACGTTATTTACGTTATACGTATTTTTTAAGTATTTTAAACCAGAGGTGACTGGCAAGGGAAGTTACGTTATTTCATCATCGTGTTATTAACACCGACTATTTTTATTATATTATAATATATAAAATCTAGTGTCAGTCAATCAGTGTCAGGTTAAGCGCTCGGTGTAAATTTCACAGTACGCGAGCAACCTAGATTTGATCCTCGCCAGCACCAATGAAATTTTAATTGCAATTTTAAGTGCTGATTTACCACGTGCTCCACGGTGAATAAAAATATCATGAAGAAACCTGCATGTCTAATAATTCTCAGAAAAAAAATTTTTGAAGACATGTGAAGTCCGCCAACATGCCTAGGGGCAGCGCGGCGGACATTCGATTGCCCTAATACCCTATCAGAAACTAGAGGAGGCCTGTGCCCAGCTGTGGGACGTATATAGGCTGTAACTAAAATCTTGTGTGCTTGTGACCTTTGACAAACGAATGTCGGTTTTGAGAAGACGGAATAATCATCGTAAATGATAGATCTCTATTAGACCTACAAAATTTAGATCTATGATAGGTAACAGTAAGTAAAGTGCTTGGGCCCGGTATAGTGGCCTCTTCTACCCTGTTTTCTTATATTACGGTAATAGCTTATGATGATACTGTATTTGAAATTACAATATGGTACGAATTACAGTATCTTTTTTTATAGGATAAGGGTGACAAACGAGCACACAGTCCACCTGATGGTAAGTGGTCGCTGTGGCCCATAGACATCTACATCTATCTTCGATTAAGAGTCAAAATGCAGATGCGTTGTCATCCGTGAAGACTAAGATGGAATGCCTAGTTTCCAGTAAAAAGGGTCTCCGGTTCTCTACACTCACCATACGAAACACAGCAGCGTTAAGCTGCTATTTTACGCTGGTATTCTGTGAGAGTGTGGTCCTTCCCCGGTCGAGCCGACCCATTCGTGCTACAACGATAATATATATGCAGCATGGCTCTACCACCTATAAAATTGTATGGTAAGTTAGAGGCTGCGCGTTCATCATAAATTTCGTAGGGCGCAAACAACCTATATCAGATGAGGATGAGCTTTGTGGCATTCTTGGAAGGATGCCTATGTTTAGCAGTGTGTTTGAATCCATGTTACCGGCCTCGTTAAATATTTTGTGTTATTAAGAATATCTTTTACGATTTTGTGACTGGTGAATAGCTATACATACATTTCATAAACTGTTTAAGCAAAAATCTATGGAGTAGGTAGTTTGTATGAACAGTTTAACAAAAAATGGAGTTATTTTTATTTTTACAAATATCTTTATATTTATATCGACGTGTTTTTAGGAGGCAGATAATTACTGTAAATTATTATCGATACGATCTGTTTGGAGATGCAGGAAGTCGATTGATGGAGGTGCCTCAAAACCGTGCTTTGTGAAATTCTTTTTGGCGAGGCCTACGTTCTGCAGTGGACTTAGGAAGGGCCATAATGATGATGATTATAAATATTGATATAAGAATACACATACCAAATATATGTTATTTTTAAGAAACTATTTAATTCTATGTAAATAGATTCAACTGTTTAATGTAAAGAAATTTTTTAGTATTGTGTACATGAAAATATAAAAAATAAAAGTAAAAAGAATTTTAAAATAAAAACTGTCTGGTTATGTCACTCATGTCTAATATCCAAATCACCACCATAGATAAATAGATATGTAGGAGTACAGAACACATACTCTCTACTCTCTACATCCAAATAATTCTGTTCTGGGCAAAGAGTATATCATACATTACTCTATATATACTAGAGTATAATTACTACTTTTTAGTTCTGTTTGTGTATAAAACGTAGATTCACAATATTAGGACCAATCAACATCGCCATACTCGTTTTTGTTGATTTATTTATTTTATATAATGTCAAAAAATATAAAGAAAATAGGACTAGACTTATTTGAGCGATCTAGTGAATTGTTTTCTAAATATAGTGATAATACCTACATTGCAAATTATCGTGTCGCAAACTTTAAAAACTAATAGTTAATGAGGTGTGAATACCAAGTGTTGACAGTGACACGATACATAAGACAGTTGGATCCCATTTGTAATTTAATTTACCACTTGCTCGACGGAAAATAAATACATTGAGAAAGTAATATCTGCTTGAATGAAAATATTTCGAAATCATGAAGTGAAGGCATTGTCTTGATAATGCCGTCTAGCGGGGGCATAAGAGAATCCACTACTTCCTACTAAGGAATATCTATTACATTTGAAAGGGCTCATAGGTGACTGTTATACTCTCACCTTCCTGATGGTGCAATCCGAAGTTGGGTATAGGACCTCAGTGACGGCACTAGATACAACGATCGTATTTCAACTCATTTGAAAAGGCTCATAAAAACTTAGGTGACTGTTATATATCTCAGCTTTGGGATGGTGCAATCCGAAGGTGGGTATAGGATTTGAGTGATACTACCACGTAGAACCAACGTGTATGGACTCATTTGAAAGGGCTCATACAGACCTAGGCGACTGTTATAATCTCACCTTTCTTGCAATGCAAAGGTGGGTATAGGATCTCAGGGACGTCACTAGTAGAATGATCCTGTTTGAACTCATTTGAAAGGGCTCATAAAAAACTAGGTGATTGTTATGATCTCACTTTTTTGATGGTACCATCCGAAGGTGAGTATAGGATCTCGTGAGCAATCGTGTTTGAACTCATTTGAAAGAGCTCATAAAGACCTGAGGTGACTGTGATGATCTTACTTTTATGATGATGGACTGAGAAGGTGGGGTAAAATATCTCAGTGATGCTTCTGCGAAACACCATCGTGCTTGGACTCATTTGAAAGGGCTCAGGTAGACCTTAGTCTACTTAATGATTGATTAAATAATATATAATATATAAATATCATACATACTAATAAGATTGAAGAATAAATTCAATCATCTTAATGATTGAATAAATATGCCGCGATTTTAAGAAGAAGTAGCTAGTTGAAATACCCTTTTAGATTTATTGTGGTGTGTAGCTTATAATCAGACTGTGTTAGACAGTACAAAACAGTATTATTACTCACTTAATTTATTATGTTTTCAGGTAATCAAGAAACCAGCAAAACTCTCAAATATAAAATTAGAAATCTGCCATATATTTTACAGGCTATAAAAAATAAGGCAGACCGGAAAAATTTGCATAACCAACCACAACCAGAAGACGAAAATATCTGCGTACTTCAAGAAAGCCTACAAGCACAATCAAAAATGATCAACCGACCTGTTCACGGTTTTTAGATTGCAATGATTTTCGACTAGAAGAAATATTTTTAGATATTGATGTAACTATGTTGTACTCTCTCTGTAGAAGATTGCAATGAAGTGGTCGATATGAATGACAAGCATGTGGAAACTGTCCATGCGGTCGGAGCTAAGTTCTGTAAGACCCGTCGCAGAAGAACACAAAAACTCTCCGACACTCTTAATTTCATGCCTGTTTAACGGATGATAAAGCTGCAGTCTTCAGAAGATTTAACAGCATACAGACAGAATCCAATAAAATGAACAGACAGATATCCAAATGCATGCGGCGGGACTTGCGCAACTTCAGTACAGCTTGTATTGAAGAAGCGATCAAGCTTAACTAGGGCTCCAAAGTCTTTGCCAGAGATCTGCCTGCCAGAAAAAGCCAACCGTCGAAGCTGAAGCTAAGATTGATAGGTTCTATGGGCAGCTGTACAAGTGTGAGTAACGATCCAAGAACAAGTCTTATCCGACACTATTCCGATGATATCCCAGACGTCAGTCTGAGCGAGATTAGAGTCCCCGGCGAGGATGGGATTACAGCGGAGCTTCTGAAAGTGAGTGGTTAACCAGTACTTGAAGTTCTTCAGAAGCTCTTTAATTCCGTCCTCTATGGTGGCACTACTCCAGAGGGGTGGTGCAGAAGTGCGGTGGTCTTGTTCTCCAAGTAAGGCGACAACGCTCTCTTGGAGAAATACAGACTGATTTCCCTTCTGAGCTGCGTCTATGTACTGTTTGCAAGAGTCATTACGAATCGTCTCGCACGCAGACTCTACGACTTCCAGCCTCCCGAATAAGGTTTCCGAAAAGGCTTTAGCACCATAGACCACGTACATACCCTTCGGCAAATAGTACAGAAGACCGAAGAGTACAATCTGCCACTTTGTCTTGCGTATGTGGACTATGAGAAAGCCTTTGATTCCGTCGAAATTTGGGCGGTGCTGCAGTCCGTTCAGCGGTGCCAAGTGGACAGGAAGTCAATGGATGCAGGTGGCTCGGGATCGTGGTTTGTGGCATTTCTTGGGGGAGGCCTATGTTCAGCAGTGAACTTGTGAAGGGCTGTAATGATTGATGATGTTGTACTCAATGTTTTATTTCACGAATACTAGATATTTAATAAAACAGTTTTTTCGGATTTTGTTGTGTTTATTTAACTTATTTTTACCCCACGCTCAATTAGATAACATAGAAAGTCAGGGCATCCTATTTCTCTTACTGAGATACGTCAAAACACTTAGTTGTTCATCCTCAGGCTCTCAGTGCGTATTATCTAGTAAACCTAGTTCTCAATTAGGTAAATATGGAAGGTAAATATGAAAGCTGGATCATCCTAGCTACTACCGTTACTGAGAACCGATAAGCACTTACCTGGTCATCATTAGACCTTGTAGCACCCGTACTCATACAGATAACTGATAAATACTAGACAATCATCACTATTTTTATTACTAAGGTTTTATAGCAAGAAGTAGGCAAGGTGCATTATTAAGGTACTTCAAAATAAATAGAAATTATTGTAACGAATTCCTTACAAGACAAAACAACAAGATGTATTGTGTATGGTCTTAAGCCTTGAGGGAATAAAATAGGAAAAAACGATTAAAAACACTGCGACACATCTGTATTTATGCCTTATCTTCAGTTCCTTTTAATGTAGTATGGTCGTCTGACAGTAGATGGCGCCTGGTCATCGGGAAATGTAAATACCCTTAAATTGATCAGTTTAACCGACCGGGTGTGTCGGCCATAAAGGTGCTTGCAAAAGCAAGCTCTGCGCTCCCTTAGTCTTTGCGCCCTACGCTCTAGCTTTATTAGTCTGTGGGTAAATCAGGCCCAGGATGCTTATAATAAATCATTTGGTTGGAAAACTCTTTTACTTATTAAATTTCTAATGTAAATCAGCGTTGAATGGCCATTTTTATTAAGAAGTGCGTTGTTTGGCGTATTATTGGAGACCTTCAATAACCCCTTCGTCTAAGGGAGATTAATTTTAGTAATAAAATATAACCTGACTTAGGTATGACACTCGGGGGATCGACTGATGGAGGAAAATTGATCCGGAAACAGTGAACCCAGATTTCACAAACTAGCCGCGCCAATCTGTTTATCCATCATTGCTTGCTGGTGCATCTGGGGAAATCTTTCAAGAAATGCATGTCATCTGATGTATTCTTAAAAATAGTTTCCAGCAGTCCAGTAGTGGGAAATAAAGCTATTATTGAAGAAGAAAAGCCGAAAAGGAAATGCGCTCTACTCCCTAGAATATAATAAGTGTAATAACTAGCAATCACTTCTCTTCACTTCGACTTCGCACAGGCGATTTCTGGATCTCGACAACAGCGCCGGGTCTAATTACCTATAACTAAGAACCATCCATGTGACCCAGTATCCGAAACAAAACAAGCGGTTTAGAAGGAGAATCATAACTATTACTGTATAAGTTCTAATAATGAACTTTGAATTACGGTATGCTCACCGTTACATTTACCAAATTCAAAAAAGAAGAGGTTATCAATTCGGATTTATTAGTTTATATATTCTTTTGTATGTAGGTACGTTCTGGCATAACTCCGTGGTGTATAAACGGATTTGCTAAATTCTTTTTTATTCAAAAGAGGTACATGCCGAAATGGTGCCATTTAAATTTCTTAAAGATCTGATGATGAGTTTCGGAGACAGACACCGAACTCTTTTATAAATGCCAGCTAATCAACCTCGATTGGTGCTATCGATTATCTATTCATTTTTTTATACAATCACACAACATAACATCACGCCTGTACCCTCTAAAGGGGTACGCAGATGTATACAGTATACCACGGTACACCCTCATTTCTGTCAAAGTTGTTATTTTGAAGTCGTTTGTACAAAATTTTTAATTTTACCACTTGTTTAAACTTTACGATCAAAAAGATCTTTTATAATTAAAGATTTTATCTAATTTCAAAAAACTGTCATTTCTACTAAAGACGTAAATGACATGAATAAATTAATTTAGTTATTACAGTTGTGGAAAATAATAGAAAACTTAGTAAATTATTAATTGAATTACCTAGTTAGAAAACACTATTTATTAAAAAAAATATTGTAACTCCCGTCATAATGAGAAGCAGCGGTTTGGTTTTATTTGTATGTGCCGGATTATTGCTTGTAAGTTTACAGTTTACTTACACACATTAACATACAGGAGTAAACAATAAGTAAAATAAAGGTCATATGACGCTAGCACAATTAGGTAGTAATATTTAATTAAACAGCAAACGTTGAAGAAGAGATAAAGGAATGACTATTTTAGGGTATATAAACATTGAATATCTATAACCTATTAATCCAATATGTTAACACTTTAAGAGAGCAATTTTTGTAATATACAATTGTAATGTACGTCATTGTACGTAAACGATTTCTCGGAAACGGTGCTAATGATTTGGATAAAGTTATTTTTATTATAATATAGTTATGTACATAATGTTTTTCTCTTACTTTCCGAGTTTATCTAGAGTGTCATTCTTGAGATTTTTTTATAACGCCGAAGTTTGATTTCCCAGGTGCTGTACTCAATATCATAGAAACCGCTTTTTGTTTTCCATCCATCCAGCCATTAAAACCTATAAAAGTTCACTGCTGTAGATAATAGGGCTCCCCATAGATTGCCTCATAGGGTGATATTTGCCGTAGATACCACGCTTGGCAGGCGGGTTGGTAGCTACAGTTTATTTTTTATTTTTAGGTGTTATTATGAAGTCGTTGCTGTCCATCTCCTAGTTTATTTCCCTCTGTCGCCTCTTACAAAACCCACGGGACGATATGGAGTAGTGGATATTCTTACACTACACGGTCACTACACGATAGTTTACTATATACATAATGATAATACGTTTGTTATTAACTCTTGAATTAATGAATAAAATATTGCTCAAGACATAAGTTTCATTTTTTCGGAACACTATCTAACTTCTATTTCTAAAATAAAAATAGACTAAGTTACTCCTTATAACATTAGCTATCTGCCAGTGAAAATCCCGTCCTGTCTTTATTTATTTGCATAGATAAATAAAAAGTAAAGCCCGATTTGTTTTCAACACCGATAATTACAAAGCATACCCATTAAAGGAAATGTGTAAAAATGTATCCATGATGCGTCCAGGAGAAATTAACATTAATCATCAAGGGACACAACCCATCTGCATCTTGATTCTCATCCGAGAATAGACATAGTCTATGAGCTGCAGCACCCACTTATCAGCAGGCGGAGTGTGTGCTCGTTTCCTTTCCTCTTTTTAAATATTAATTTCACAAAATATTTTTTTCTTATGCATAGCAATACGTTGAAATGTTTACACCTTAAACTTTTCGTAGCTTAAAGTATTGTTTTGGTTTATATTAGTGTAGTTATTAATAAATACTTTTGTTTGCACTGGCTTGTTTATAAATGTTTAAGAATATTTAAGAATAGCCGGTGATCGTCTAGTGCTTGAAATTTAAGCATGCTGTATTTCACTTTCAACTGCTCAATAATAAATAAGAAAACTGATATCTTATAAACAAAATATAACACAAACAAAGATACTCCATAGACTATTGGAAAAGGAACATTTGAAAGCATACAAAATTTACAGCTTACTCAGTCAATTTGTCAGTAATTATTAATTTTGTTGGCAACATTTTAAAATTCTTTGGCGATGATCTCTACTCTGTGAGGCTGTTGGACCACAGAGTATTAAGTGATTGTAAAAGTAAAGTTGCAGCCTATTTACGTCCCACTGCTGGGCACAGGCCTCCTCTCATTTCTGAGAGGGTTTTAGGGCAAGGAAATGTCCGCCGCGCTGCCCCAATGCGTGTTGGCGAACTTCATTTGTCTTCGAAATTTTTTTTCTTATTTCTCAGTTATGCAGGTTTCCTCACGATGTTTTCCTTCACCGCCGAGCACGTGGTAAATCAGCACTTAAAATTGCAATTAACAATTTCATTGGTGCCGGCGGAGATCGAACCCGGGTTGCTCGAGTACTGTGAAACTTACAGCGAGCGCTAACCATCTGAGCTACCACGGCTTGCGGGATATAAGTGATTGATTTTGACTTTATACTGCCTACTACGATACTACTACGAAAACAATGAATGTTTTATTTTATATTATTTAATGTATTTATAACACATATTATGATTTATAAATTTGAGATTTCTGCACTCTTTATTCATATAATCTTTAACCATGCTTAATTTTACAAACCTCCCTGCGCGCAATATGGTTAAAAACGGGTTAAAAGAGGAAATGTTTTAATTGCTTTTAATATTTTACTATTTCTTTGAAAACAAAATAAATCATATACTGTTGTATTCGGTGAGAGATTGCAATACTAAATAAGAAGCAAAATGATTAAAATGTTAAGACAAAACTCCACTGCTTGAACTAAACTTTACGTCATTTGTATAATTAGTTTGAATATTTATATTGGCAGAGTGGTGGCGCCATTCTTGGCGGAGCAACAGCTTTCAGCCTACTTCGCATGTCCTATTATTTTTGGACCACGGACCTGGGTGCGGAGCTAGGTGCCAGTATTCTGTTTGTGGCTGGTGCCTTTTTATGTCTACCTTCCTGTTGGCTCGCCACTCTAGTGCCTTATCATCCTAAATCTATATCCATTACAGCTACGGTATGTTATTATATTCATAAAATTTATATTATTTGTATATAATTTAGATAATAAATATAAAATAAATATAGGAAATAAGTATGATAAATAGTTTGGTGTCTTTGAAACTTACTTTGGGTCTGGGTGTGTTTATCAAATTTCAGGTCTGGATATATGACATTTGTTTAAATAACATCTTTAATCCTAGAACCTCATATTAAAAGTAATAAAATGTTCGGTATAAAGTTGCTTATATTAGTTTATTTCATAATTGAACCTGCTCCAATTTTTCAAAATAACTTTTTGTAAATTTTTCACTGCTTGTCATGGGCCTCTCCCACGGACCATCAGTTAGTCCGGTCTTCGGCTACACGCATCCAGTTTCTACTAGCCACCTTGCGCAGGTCTCACACTAAGATTACCTAGACGCGGTCTCCACTCCATAACAACATAAATTTAGTGATCATACATTTAAAAATCGAATTATTGAAACGAGGAATAGAATCTAGGCTCTGTCGTTGTGATGCCGAACATTTTACTACTTTCAACATTAGGTTATATAGTTAAAGATGTTATAACATAAGGCATTAATAAGCAAGCAATCCGATACTAAGTATATGGTATAGCATAGTGTGAACGTGTCCACCAAAATGAATGACGAACTGCCATATTCTATATACCTATTATAGCGTAATTTGAACTTAGCTTTATTTGAAAATCTATGTTTAGATATTGTTATCCTTAAAAAGGTATAATAAACATGCGTGTAGTTCGTTATAGTAAAATATCTGACCATTATCGGTTTATACCATTTTCATTGTGATATTTAAATTAATTATATAACCGGTAAATGGTGGAGCCACGTTGCAGCGTAATTATGGCTTCAGCACGAAAGGGTAACCACTCGACCGGGGAAGGAAAGTTCGCACTAAATACTAGAATAATTCTGCTGAGTTTTGTATGGTGAGTAGCTAGAACCTTTTATTAGTAACTTGGCATTTCATATTATTCATTAAAAGTGATAACGCAACTGCATTTTGATTCTTAATTGTGGATGGATAGTGTCATGGTAGCAGTATCCTGGTATCCACTTACCATCGGGAGCACTGTGTGCTCATTTGTTACTTATATAAACTTAATGATATAAAAATTAATAGTATCTATCAATCTGAAATATATTTGAAAACATGTTTTCCAGCTAATGTTGCTAGTGACGACATCTACTATACTATTGTCTTGCGGAATGTCAGCTATCACAGGACTGTCGAAAGCGGCTCGGGATCCGGCCACCGTCAATGCGAGTATGCTACGCGCAATGGCACATGAAACGTTCGATCCCGCTGTGAGGAGTGCTTTTGCTGCCATGCAAATTGAGGTACAAACAGTATACACACATTAGAATTTTGTACCTTGCTGTGGTAACTCAGGGACAGCAGTCTGATTTCGGTCTTCTTTGTTACCATTAAAGTTGTTAATCATGTAGGGAAACATCGGCAAGACTACGGTTCTTACGGCGCCAAGATTTGAAGGCGGATTAGCATAGATCTCGATCTGATACGCCGAAAAGTTAGATTAAAATTATTCGATATCTCGCTTAGTTTCTGAGATATCGATACTCAAAAATTTCTTTTTTTACCCAGAAATATTGACCCAAAGTTACTTCTGCAACGGTTTTGGCACTGCGGGAAGTGTAGTCCCTTCGTTCCCTTGCGTAGCAAATCAGTACAATACAGCGGACCGGGGCTGCTCTCCCTCCGCGCCCACGGCTTTGCAAAAACACTAGGGGCAAGACAGACAAGACTACGTGAAGTCGGGGCGTGCTGATTCGGTTTTAGTATTCGATTTATGAGTATCGATATCTCGGAAACTAAGCGAAATATCGAAAAATTTTATTCTTACTTTTCGGCATATCTCGTCGAGATCTATGGGAATCTGCGAAATTCAAATCGTGGCGCCATAGGAATCATCGAAACACCTAAACCGAAACATCTAAAAGGAAACTCGCAAGTGTTTGTAATTAAAATATTTCGAGTACATGCCAAAGCCACCAACAACCACTGGACAGTGCGGTGGACTTCAAAACCTCTTATACATCTCCTTTAATACGTGGTAGAGCCACGCTGCAGATATTTATTATTAGCACTAATGGGTCGGCTCGACCTGGGTGGGACCACGCTCTCACAGAATACCAGCGTAAAATACCAGCTTAAGACTGCCATGTTTCGTATGGTTAGTGTAGAGAACTGGAGACCCTTTTTACGGGAAACGAGGCATTCCATCTTAGTCGTCAGGGTTGACAACGTATCTGCATTTTGATTCTTAATCGGGGATAAATGTAGATGTCTATGGACCACATCATCCACTTACCATCAGGTGGACTGTGTGCTCGTTTGTCACCCTTATTCTATAAAAAAGATCTTAGCCTTAACATTAGTTAAAAATTTTAGCAATGATTTAATTTTGTGGAGTATTTTCTGAATATATCCTATAAATTTCGAATACAAAAATCACATTAAAAAAGTTTCAAAGCTTTTGCAGCATTGAATAAAGACTTAAAAGAATCTTACTATTACCACAGAATAAATAATAGTACTGTTACTTATTTTCTAAAGTCAAATAGAAATCAATGTTTGTTGTTAATTTCAGTTGAAGTGTTGTGGAGTTCAATCGTACGCCGATTGGTATCAGCATCGACGAGAATTGCCTGCCTCCTGTTGTGGTCGATTGCTAAATGGAAAGGTAAGTACTTAAAATTGTTATTTAGACTTTATTAGTACTCATGTTATAAATTCAAGAGTGCTCTATTTTCGTATTTTAAATGCCCTTGTTTTCATTTAATTAAGATAGGTGACGCTTTATTTGTAAAAATGGTATATGTGCAAATAAAAACTATTATTTAACCAGTATTTATAAATCTATACATACACACACTCGTACACAAATAAAATTAAGAGACTCTCTGTAATATTTTAATAACAAACAATAAACAATAAATAACCTACTTAAAATATTTGTCTGTCTAATCTTCGGAATGACTGAACTGATTGTGATGAAACTTTACGAACAGAGAGCAGTGACAGGAGGGTTCTAGACTATATTTTATCCGAAATATTTGAAGAGTTTTTTTTTGAAAACGAAAAATTGTTAAAATAAATAGTTTTTGATTTGTATTTCTCGTATTTTCAAAAACTGCAATAACGTTATATCGTTATTTATACAGGGTGGCCCATAAGTCCCTTGAAATGTAAAAAAATAATTAAAAAAAAACTAATGACATTATGAAAAAGGTTTTTATTTTGTCATAATCCTTATAAAATGGGAATTATTTTTTGAAAATTACATCATCTAAATGTAATCCGTTACGATCGCGGCACTCCTGTAAGCGACGTTTAAAATTATCCATCACTGCGTTGCAAGTAAGCTCTGTAATGTTTGCCATTTCTCTTTGGATATTTTCTTTCAGGACGTCAATTGTCCGCGGGTTGGTTTCGTACACTTTAGTCTTAAGATAACCCCATAAGAAAAAGTCCATTGGGGTCAGATCTGGACTACGTGGTGGCCAAGGAATATCTCCTCTTCGAGAGATCACTTTATTCGGGAAAAGTTGACGGACGACCGGCATAGCGACGTTAGAGGTATGGGCAGTTGCTCCATCTTGTTGAAACCAGGTCCGCGTATTGAAGCCTGGAAAATTCTGCAACTCTGGTGTAAAAAAGTCCTGGATCATAGCTACATACCGTTGTGAATAGTAAGCGCGCGGCCTCTGCCGTCCTCAAAAAAGTAAGGGCCTATAATGCCATGCGCTGACATAGCCGCCCAAACTGTCATTTTAGGGCTATGTAAGGGCTTTTGATGTTTGCGATTTGGATTCTCGCAACTCCAGTAGCGACAATTTTGCTTATTGACATGGCCGTTGATGTGAAAGTGAGCCTCATCAGAGAATAACACGTTATTAAACGAAGTAAAGCGGTTCAACATTTCATTTGCGAAATTTAGTCTGTGGATAGTGTCAGTATCTTTTAATTCCTGTACTAACTGAATCTTGTACGGGTGAAGATGTAAATCTTTCTTTAAAATTCGCTGTAACGATGTTCTGGGTAAGTTTAATGCACGGGAACGCTTACGAGTAGACTGGGTAGGATTTTCACGAATTGAGTGTTTCTACTACATCGATGTTTTCTTCCGTCCGTGATGTCCTTGGTCGACCTGACCGTTGTTTATCCAACGTCGAACCACTCTCTTCGAACTTAATAACCCAGTTCTTAATCGTTTGAACACTTGGAATGTCTTTAAAGTTGCGTAAATTCTGATATTCTCGAAATTTACGCCGCGCAATGGTGGCCGAATCATTGTTTCGATAAAACTCGCGCACACAAAATGCACGTTCCGCACCGGTGAAACGCTCCATGGCGACTGAATTCCCATAAACCGTCGGTACTCCCCCCGCACCGCGCGCGCCACTCATGCGCGCCTTTTGTATTTTATTCGAAATTTACATTTCTAACGACTTATGGGCCACCTGGTATATTTGAACTTAAGTTTAAAAATTGGCTAGCCTTATTACACACACATAAATATAGTTAGGAACGAGATAAAAGATAAAAGAGAATATGAAGAAATGAGGGTGGAGCTGTAATCTCTCTTAATGTGATAGTTTTCGTAATGAAAATAATCGTTTGTCGATTGGATGTTGTCCTTAGTTAGCTGAGGTAGACACGGGTTCGAAGAACCAATACCCGATAAGAAAAAAGTTAAAGGCAAGCCCCGTATTGGAAAACGCAGCTTGGTGGCTAACAACCTGATGAAACACGCAGGTTAGTAGACGGATACAGGTGGCTAAGGACTGTACTTTGTGGAAAGTGATGGATGGTTGGAGGGGGCTTAAGTTCAGCAGTGACAAACCGGGACAAACTTGTGTCTGAAGTCGAGTCTTAGGCTTAACAAAGTCGGATTGGGGCCGACTAAATCTAGTCCAGTTCAATCCCCAGAAGACACAAGTTTGCGCGTTTACCGCTAAAAAGAACCCCTTTGTCGTATCTCCTCAGTTTCAAGGCACTCCCCTTGCTGCCTCAGCCAGTATCGGAATCCTTGGCGTCGACATATCGAACAGCGTGCAGTTTCGTGGTCACTTGGAAGGGAAGGCCAAATTGGCCTCTAAAAAGCTTGGCGTGCTCAGCAGAGCGAGACAGTATTTCATGCCGGCACATCGCTTGCAACTTTACAAAGCGCAAGTTCGGCCCCACATGGAATACTGTTCTCATCTCTGGGCCGGGGCACCCCAGTGCCAGCTCCTTCCACTTGACCACATCCAGCGCAGAGCGATTCGAATCGTCGACGACCGAGTTCTTTCCGATCGGCTCGATACACTGGCACTGCGTAGAGATGTTGCATCTCTTTGCGTATTTTATCGCATCTATCACGGGGAGTGCTCTGAGGAATTGTTCGGACTAATTCCAGCCGCTCAATTTCACTATCGTACATCGCGACAAAACTCGCGTTACCATCCATACCATCTGGATGATTGGCAGTCCACCACTGTGCGATTTAGAAGAAGTTTTCTCCCTCGCACAACTTCTTTGTGGAATAAATTACCACCAGCGAATTTTCCGAACCGATACGACTTAGGAACCTTTAAGAAAAGAGCTTACACCTTTCTAAAAGGCCGGCAACGCATCTGCAATTCCCCTGGTGTTGCGGTTGTTCATGGGCGGCGGTAGTCACTTACCATCATGTGAGCCGCATGCTCGTTTGCCCCCTATTCTATAAAAAAAAAGTGAACTTGTGATGGGCCAAAGTGATAGTGTGTATTTTCAATTTCAATTTTTGTAATTTGTTACAGAATGGCGAACAGTGCATCACTCCTCAGCAGACGGTTGGCTGCTTACGTCCGGTTCTTAGCGAACTGCGAATGTTTATCAACTCTGGTTGCGTGCTCGCTTCGGCTATTATCCTTGTCACGGTATTGTACGCTTTATCATGTTATCACATCAATTAGTGGAGGATCATCCTACGCTTCACTTGCCCGGCTGTCACAAAGAGCCTATCTTCTGTAATAGTTCTTATATTTATGCTTTAATGGTCATTCATTGGACTATATCGATTACTCTGTGTCTATTATGGATATCCTTGTAACGAATTATATGTTTTTTTTAAAATATAATTAAGGGTGACAAACGAGCACACAGTCCAAGTCCATGTGATATAAAGTGAATGCTGTGACCCATAGACATCTACTTCTGTCCTCGATTAAGAATCAAAATGCAGATGCGCTGTCAGATTTGAAAACTAATATGGAATTCCTTGTAAAAGGCGTCTCCGGTTTTCATCAAGAAACACATGCAGCATTATCCTACTATTTCGCATTGATTCTGTGGAATGAATAGAATGGTTCTTCTCTGGTAGCCTAACCAATTGTGCTGCAGTCGGATTTTTTGATGGTAAGTGGCTACTGCAGTCTATGTACAAATGCGGCTAAACAAAGAAAGAAACTAAAATGGAATGCCTTAGAGCCTGTTATTATACTCTGCTCTCTTATACTCTTTAGTCTGGAACACAGTATTTGGCTGCAGAAATAGGTAAGAGGGCGATACCTGCACAGACGGACACAAAAGAAGTTCTAGCTCCTAGTAATAAAATTACGCGGCAGTGCAAGTTTATCGTGATATTGAAATCTTACAAATAGCATAATACAATGTTTGTTCTTATGGTTTTACGTTGGCAGTAACCATGGCATAGACTTACGTGTTGCGTTGTTTTATATAAAATCTAAGTAGACTTGTAAGTGTAATCTGGAGACGCTTAGGTTTTGGCTGGTTTTCTTCTTAGCAACTTAGAAATAGTAGCAACAAGATGGGTGAAAACTTAAAGAATAGTACCGGCCAATTGCGAGTCGGACTCGCGAATGAAGGCTTACGTACCATCGTAAAACACGTTTCTAAAATTAAAGGGGGCTCCCTTTATATTTTTAAATTTATTTTTATTTTTATTATTTGTTGTTATAGCGACTACAAAAATACACATTCTGTGAAAATTTCAACTGGCTGCTTATTACGGATCATGAGATACAGCCCGCCGACAGATAGACGGATGGACAGCGAAGGCTTAGTAATGGGTTCTCGTTGGTTACCGTTTGGGTACGGAACCGTAAAAACGGCAGTAACAACTTTACAGATTCTTTGACATAAGAACTGAATAAATTCTATTTTTATATGTCTCTCAAATCCTTAAGGTAGCCTACTGTCGGAAATACGCATTAATTGCTTCTTGCATCTGATACTTACCTATTTTATATTTCCTCATCTTTTCAATAAATTTAATAACTAGTGCTTGACTACGACACCAGCAGATGATAAGTGGTGATGCAGTCCTTAGTGTTTAAACTTATACTATTCTATTAAAATCCTATTCACACGTCCCTTGTAAACACCCACATTGTATTCGATCGAAAATGCTTTTGCAGACAAATTATTGCAATTTTTTTATAGAATAAGGGTGACAAGCGGGCACTCAGTGTCCACCTGATGGAAAGTCGATGCTGTGGCCCATAGACATCTACATTTATCTTCAATTAAGAATCAAAATGCAGATGCGTTGTCACCCCTGATAACTGAGATGAAATGCCTCGCTTCCAGTAAAAAGGGTCTCCAGTTCTCTAAACTCAACATATGAAACACAGCAGCATCAAGCTGCTATTTTTCGCTGATGTTGTATGAGAGTGTACCTACCCTGGGCGAGCCGACTCATTCGTGTTGCAACCACAATATACGAGTAATATAGCTACAGCATGGCTCTACCTCGTAAATATTTTTATTATTATTACTGGTGGTAGTTTTAGGTCAAGTAGGTTTGGAGATAATACTGTGATTACTTAAAGTTTTTCATGACATTACTTAAGTAATTAACTTACTGCACGGAAATCCCTCTAGTCGAATTTGACGATGCCCATGGGTCGATTTAATGTAAAGTATGCTGCTACCATACGGCGCTGTTCTATAATGAATTTTGAGATCTTAATCCTAACTACAACAACGTTAATACAAACAGGGTTTTTAGTAAAATTAGTATCTCAACTACGATGACATAAAATCGCAGTGAAAATTACCATTATCTCTACTTAACTTTGTATTTTACTGAAATGGATAAGTATTTTTTTAATGAAATGCCTCCTAAACTTTTTACATCTCACAATTTGATTCGATATTGTTCTTGAAAGGATTTTATGTCTTTAAAATTATTTAAGCAATGTAAAATAGTTTTCTTCGGCTTGTTTGAAAAAATATCAATACCATTCTTCTTTGGCCAGGACTTTGACGCATTCAAATCTGGTCTACTATACCTATGTCCATTTGAATTTAAACTGTTATTTATATACTGTCGTCATTTTAGGCAAATCACATTAATTACATCATTATTATTAAACAGTCCTCTGCTAGACATACTGGCTAGCGTGGCTTGTTCCACCGTTAATGACGCTAATGAGGCGGAATGATCATCGTAATACTCGCAGTTTTTTTATATCATTTAAAATAATCACCTTTGCTTACATATCAGGTGGTGACACTTTTCACGGCGGCATATACCCTGGTGTCCGGGACTCTGGAGCGCAATGAATCGCGCTCATTGAAGCTAGCACAGCCTCTGCGCATCGCCTGCCTTCACTCACCATTACCAACGTTTGGTAACCAAGAGCAAACTACCAATGTTGCCCCTCAAATTTGAATCTATATTTATATGTATAATTTTTTGTATCACGCTACATTTCCGTAATTCACTTTTAATTCACGTTACTATAATGTAAGGTACATTGAAGAGACAAGCAATAATTCCTAAATATTTTCAAAAGTAAATTAGTGGTCCTAAATTTGGAATGATTAATTACTCATTCCATTGAATTTTGTTGCTATCTATTTAATGATTCAAAGATGCTAGATTGTTAAGTCACACAAAAGTGATTAGTTTTATTTTCTCTGCTATTTAAAAATAATATTTTACTACAAACTTGTGCTCTTTTAGCGAGCGAATAATGAAATTGAGTGTTAATGTGTAGGTATATATAGCATATAATATTATTTACATTTTGTTTCTATAGCGGCTGATTTTAGTCATATCTTCTATAAAATGTGAGATAAAGGCTATATTTGTACGTATTTTTTTCGATTAAAAAAATAGAAAAGAAGTATTAATCTTGTGACTTAATTTTATTGACGTAAATTACGTTTTATACTGTTTGTTTACAGCTGTTAAATAACCTTTGGGTCCAAGAATTACTGTATACACATATTTTCATGTCTACTTTTAATGTCTTTATACTTACTCAAAGTAAAACTGTCACTAATAAACTTTTATATATTGGGTAGTTTGTTTTTATTTTATAAACTATTATAAAGCAGTGTTTGCTACTCATGTATTTGCTTACCCAGTATACCCAGCTGGACCAATTTGCTCCTATATTTGGTGTACATAGTAGGTACTTTTTACGAAGTGCTTGTAATATAATAAAGCTATTTGTACCCCAAACCTAACCCTAATAGTTTAAGCGTAAACAAACAGCCAAGATCAAAGGGATCCAACAAAATTACATATTAAACGTAGCTTTTATATCAAAATTTACTTTTCATATAGCAGATAAAATTGAAAATAAATTTATATATAAATTATTTTTTATTTTAGCCATCTTTATCGCATAAATACACAAAACTTTTACCAGGAAATTGGATTTACGCGACATTTGTAGGATCTGCCATATTTTAAAAATTGAGTCTAGGGACGTAGAGCCAAAATGGACTGCTAAGTTTTAAATAACACATGTAAAGTTAAACATTGTTTTAAGAAAAAATATTATTTTTAAAAATATAACTATGTAAATAATGACGTCAAGTCTCTAAAACAAGTTTGAAATACGGTTGATCTGACATAAGACGGGCCAATATATTTTCTTTGTAAACATTTCTTTGAGTATTTTTGATCGCAAAAGATATATATGTCTATGTGGAAAATATATATTATGTATCAAAGTACTATGAGCACTAATCATATCCTGTTAGGTATAGTCACATCTTCTAACTTACCTCATGCTGCAGTCGCAAATGATATAAGCTTAGCTTAAATAAATCTAAGTATTCATTGTTACTTTGAACACCCGGACAGTATAATCGCATGGAAGGCAGACGTCACTACGTACGTGGAGAATCAGATTACTCCTTTGTTACGAACATCTGCATAAATGTACGCACGACGCATCAAACAGTTCGCTGTGAATGCGGTGATGTTGACTTATATACGTAGGCATATCTTTATCTTCATCAGACTCAGCGGCGTAGCTACCCAGGGGCTGGGCGGGGCAGTGCCCCGGGGGCCCCCCGCTAAAGGGGACCCTCGGCCTCCAAAAACATTTTTACGTGGTAGAGCCATGCGGCAGCTATTATTAGTATAGCTGTAGCACGAATGGGTCGGCTCGACCGGGAAAGGACCACGCTCTCACAGAATACCAACGTAAAATAGCAGCTTAACGCTGCTGTTTCGTATGGTGAGTGTAGAGAACCGGAGACCCTTTTTACTGGAAACGAGGCATTCCACCTTAGTCCTCACGGGTGACAACGCATCTGCATTAAAAACGAAATTTGAAAAATTATGTACTGATCTAGTTGTATAAAGAATTTTCGAGTTTTAACTTTTTGGCCCCTGACCGCGAACTGCTCGAATTGAAATCACAAAAATTACTCCCTCTTCCAGAACATAAATAGAACATTGTTAAAGATAATTGTCTACTTTGTCTTATTGTCTTTTTTATATAGAAGAGAGGGACAGACGAGCATGCGGCCACCGCCGCCACCGCCTATTAACAAATATAACACCGGGGGAATTGCAAGCGCGTTGCCGGTTTTTTAAAAAGGAGTAAGCTCGTTTCTTGAAGCTCCCTATATAGTATCTGTCCGACAGTAGTGGACCGCCAAACATGATGTAGATTTGTGAAATGCGTTGATGAAATTTTGTGGCTGGAATTAATCCGGTAAATGCGATAGAAAATGCAAAGGGATGCAACATCTCTTCGTCTCGTCTTTCGTAATAAGCAGAAGAAACAGCGTAGGTGATAGCACGTAGCCTTATGGAACCAGCATAAATAGTCTTGTAAATGGAGAATGCACCTTCTACTACAACTTTGTTGCTCCAATATGCAAGAAAACTGCTGATCCAGTTGAATAAATTCTCAGAAAGCCCATAGGAAGGGAGCTTCGAAAGAAGCGCTTTGTGCCAAACCCAATCCAAACTAATGGCCAGGGTCTCCCTCTCTGCCTCTGCCGATTTATGAGTCAGGTAACCCAGAAGATCACCAGTTGAGTAATACCGACGGAAATCGTACTGGTGGTCTTATTTCAGTTGGTGATCGCCAACTCCATGAGCTGGCAGTTCACAATGGTTTTCATTATTTTGAAGAACAAGTTGGATAGGTCTGAGTGGTCGATTTTCGGTTATTTTTTAGGGATCTGGTGCGCTAAGGTTGTCTTTTTTGAGTTCGGGACTACGCCTAGGGAAAAAGAGTTTTACAAAAGACATGTTACAATCGGGGCGAACTAGGGAGCACACGTCTTCAGCACAATGGGAGGAAATCCATCAGGCCCACTAGACTTGACGTCGAGGGAGAGTAGTGCTATGCGCACCGAGCGCTGTGTAAATCGTATCGTACCGACTTGAAGGCGAAATTGTACTCCTTTTTAACAGCGCTGGTGAAGTACTTATAAGATTTATAAGAGCGGCCAAACAAGGTACCACAGATGATAGAATAAAGAGTCCTATTCCCTGAAGTACCACATCAGCGACAGAAGCACATTGGGCTCATCTTGTCCCAATCGGCCGAACTATAGTGCCAAACACGGCGGCGATCTGCAGAACGCAACCACGATGTGAGTGTGAGTAGCACCATAGTCCGGATCAGACCAATGTTCCAATAAGCCAAGAGGGGCGTCGATGGAGACCTGATATCCGTCTGGATGAGAGGTCAGCAGAAGGTTCAACAGGGAAGGTGAATGATTCTCCACATCTAGAATCCGCGTAGGTGAAATAACCATTTGTGTCGGACCATATGCCAAGGCAAAGTCATAAACAGATCTTCCCGCATTATCGGAACGTTGAGCTTGGTGGCCGTTAAAATCACCAAGGATCACGATCTCTGCAAACGGGACCTGTTGTAACACGGAATCTGCAGCGATTTGAACGTGGTCGATGAGTTGGTCTTTGTCAGCATTACCTACAGATGCACCCGTAGATCCGAGGATGGTCGATGGATGGTGGAAAACAGGTGTCATCTCTGACGTATACACAAACTCCAGCCCGAGGCACAAAGGTGTTATAATTTGTACCCCGGATAGGAAAGAAGTATCAACCGGTGAGGATACCTGTGCCTTGGTTAGAAAGAGCAAGTCGACTTCGCCGTCTTCACATGATACCTAGTGAACTCTGTTAACGTTCGAATGAAATACCCTGATATTGCAGAATTTCACGGATAGTGTGACCCTCCCCCCCCTCTCTCGCCAGAATACTCGAGGCAGCCTGAGTACCCGCTCGAAGGAAGAGTAGTGTAGCTTGTGGGTCTCCTCGGCTTGAGCCGGTCCACCCATTCATTATATTCATTCATTACAGCTCCTCATTTTATGTCCTTACCACGTCGTCACTCCATCTAGTCGGCCCACCCGTGCGACAGCAAAAACTGCCGTGTGACTATTCCACTGTTATGTTGTCTGCCTATATTATTAACTGTAATATACTTCGTCATTGTTTATGCGTACACATAATACTTAGTAGTAAGTAGCTTTGCTTTATTATGCCCTGCAGTGGGCGACAAGGAGCTGATGATGAAGTAGTTTTGAACCTTTAAAATATTTAGTTTAGTTTAAATAGGGCTCCAATTTCATTTTTGCCCCGGGGCCCTTGGTTACATAGCTACGCCACTGATCAGACTGCAAAAGTCCTCTGGTATCATATTACATAGTATATTATATTGTATATATTCTCTTTTTCATCTCAATAATTCTTTACCTCTTGTTTCTACTTTTTATTATTTTTAAAGTTATTAGGATTAGGCAAAGGTATATCGTACTTGATGTATCATCATCAAACCTTTAGTCCATGGTTGGACAGAGGTCTTTCATATTGGGGAGGATTTATTAGAGCAGTAAATAGAAAACCTTTGGTATGCAGAACCATTTCGTTTATGTTTGTATAAAAGAATTAGTTGGTAAAAAAAATTTAAAGGTATATACACAAACTTTTAAAGCTTTATTTTTAACTTAAGAGATTTGGCTTTAAGATAAAACTATATTTAACACTAAAAATTAAAACATAGCGCTATGGATATTTTTTTAATTGTAATTTTTTGAACACAATACAACATGCAAGCATTAAAATGCTTTTTGAAATAAAATAAAAACAATCATATCTTTTCTATATTTGGTACCTATTTTTGGTTACTTTCAAAATTATTCATGAAAACGATTTCTATATAAAGACAAACAAAAACTATAATATATTATGAAAATTTTCGTACAACAGGGCGCGGTGGCGCCCGCGCGGCGCGTTCGCAGCGCCGCCGCGATGACACTATGCATAATATTCACAACAATAGCTAAATAGTTACAAGTCTAAGATATAGTTACAAGCGATCGTACTCGTTTAAATGTAGGATTCGAAGATTACAGGTTGCGGCGGTGGGAACGCGCCGGCGGGACTCTGCGCCGCCGCACCGCCGCCGCACCGCCGGGCCTAACTACGCGGTAACACTAGGAATATTGCTATAACGAGGATAAAATGTTCGGTGCGGCCGCGGCGAGGTGCGGCGCGGTGCGGCGCGGTGCGGGCGCGGCCGGCGCGTCGTGCGATGCCCGGCGGCCGCCGCGCCCGCCAATTGGTTAACATTAGCTCTATCTAGAATAAATAGGTGCGGTGCGTCGCGCTCAGGGCGGCTCTAGCGCCGCGCGCCGCGGTGCTTGCGGTGCGCGCGCGGCGCGCGGCCCCACCACAGCGCCGCCAGCAGCAGCGCCGCCGCCACGTCGCGCCGCGCTCTGCCACACCAACACCCACACGCGTTTCACTCACTCGCCTCGCCTCACTCTACCCGCACACGCTACACGCCCCTTCACTCCCTCCTACTAAAAACTACACCTTCTCTAGCGATGTGCACACCTATTCACTCATTACATAGATTATATAGAACAGGTTTAGATGGCGCAGAATGAAGAAAATCCTCGTGATTATGATTTAAGAAAAAGATCTTGAAAATATTTTGTCAGTCAGTCATTTTGCAAAATTTTTGTATTAAAGCAATCTTCTGAGATTCTTTTAGGCTCAACATTTAGACTTTCTTCATATCAACCCATCTCAACGCGATACCCAATGTCCGTTTATCTCTAACTATTTAGTACAACATATTTTGGATATGGAAACTACTACAGTGTCTTCTCAACTATTATACGATTGCGAGTATGTTTTAAAGACTAAAGATATTTATGTTCAAGTAAAATGTGTATTAAATTAAATTTTAAAAAGTTTCTTTGAAATCTGTATTCAATAATTTTAAATAGCTTAAACGAAACAGATTTGCATTATATTACATACTTGGCGCAAACAACTGACTGTTCGGTTTTATTATATATTAGCTTTTCTAAATTTTCTTATCTTAACAACTTCCCTGTACGCGAAAAAGATACAAATGTTCATTTATACCTCACGGAACAGAGAAGTGGTTAACTTCCACTGTAATAATTAACAAACAATCGGTCATGTACACGTTTGTAGCTACGAACAGACAACTAAACAGACACAGACAGTAAAGGAGCCTATAGGTATGTGTGGGCTTAGAATGGGCCGTGTGACGGGGTCCTTACGCTTACGACAATGTCTAGATGGCATTGGTATAAGCGTAACTGAAGTTATTTTAAACCGAAGCAAACGTTAATATTATAATAATATTACAAGTAGGTACCAATCGTCAGTCTTTCTATGGCCTTAGGTTTGACGTAGAGTAGGTACAACTTCATAAAAAGAAACGCTTGATTTAGGTTTAAAATTGTTTAGCATTAAAGGAATAGGTACAAATATACTTAATTTATTTCTTCAAAACACAATGCATTATCGTATCATCAACTCTTCTGGTTTAATATCAACAGATCTCTATCTTCTAATAGGAATACCAATGTTTAGAATATTGACTATTTCGTTATCACAAGCAATATATCGATAAAATTACAATTATATAAATATGACGTGTGTTAATAACTAATTTAAGTTGACTTATGTTTGTCATTCATCATTCAATTTATGAATCGGAGTTTTGTTACTAGGTAGCTATTAAAACTAAAGTAATTCTAGTGGAATAAAATGGACTTGAAAACTTAAAATGGATAATGAATTTGACGGATGGAAGACCGCATGTAGGAATCATTTATGCCAGCATGCTCATAGCAATCTTTTATAACATTTTTATGCAAACTGGTAGTAAAAAAAATTACCATGCCTGATCATGACAAGGAAAGAATATAACATGCAACACAAAATGACGTCTGAAATGATATGAATATGTCTTCGATTTAACAGGACAGAAAGCAATGTTTCAACCAATTAATTGTTCAAATTAATAGTCGAATCAAATTTCATGCTTGATTAAATTATAAGAATCTAAAAAATGAAATTAAATCGAAGACGTAAGCACAAAAACAAATTGTTAATTTAGCAAATGTATGAATGAATAAGAAGAGTGGGGATGGTTACCGATGCACACAACACGCGAGATTGCTCACCAAAGTAGCACATTGGCCGCCCTGCAACAAGCGGAAACAGCCTTTCACTTCCACACACCGACATCGTAAAGCGGTATTATCACTGCTTAAGCTTCGATTAGTATCACAAATGGTTATTAGTTATATTGCATAGAAATAGCACAAAAGCTCGCTTTAAAACCAAACTTATTAGAAAACAGTCCTTAATGCGTATACGAGTAATGCATATATAAATTATCGTCTGAAAAATTAAATACGTATTGATAATTGCGTTAATTGTTGCAATATCCTTGCGGAAAGCACATTAAGCTATAAAGAGTTCGTTTGTATCGAGAGTATTGTTGGTACCAAGTGTTGGTTGGTCTCACCACTACATATTGGATACAATGGACTGGATACAAGTATGGAAATAAAAAATATCATTGCATAAAAACAGTGTTTTGTTAACCTAAGCGTAGCGATTTCTTATACACGAACTCTACGCATTGAATAAAAGTACTTTTACGGATTCTATCGCGTTTAATTTTTTTTTAATAAATCGCGGTAGAATCCGTAATAGGAATTAAATTATTTAAAATTAAAAAATTTATACAGCCGACTTCAATATAAGTTATTAAGAATAACTCAAAAACTATTGGTCTGACCTTGATCAAATTTATATGGTACCACACAAAAAGTACCAGCTTTCAAACAAAAAAAGAATCATTGAAATCGGTTCACCCAGTAAAAAGTTATGAGGTAACACACATAAAAAAACATACAGTCGAATTGAGTACCGTCTGCTTTTTGGAAGTTGGCAGAAAAGCTGAAGGTACTCCGGGTTAACTCTGACATCAGGAGGCGTATTACGTATCTTGCAGAAAGCTAGCGATAGCGAAATTAGAACAATAATTGCTGATAAATCGCAGATTCGTATTACGTACTAGCGATAACCAAGCCCTAGCTAACTAGCGACCACAAGGCAGCGCTGTCGCTAGTTAGCTTGGTTATCGCTGATACATCTGACAATGAAATAACAATCTGCGATTTATTAGCAATTATTGTTCTAATTTCGCTATCGCTTGCCTTCTGCTAGATACGTAATACGCCTACGGGACGTCAATCACCTCAGTCCCCCGTGACCATGGGTGATGTAAAGCACCTGAAACGTCGGGAATTTAAATTGAAAAAAAGTTAATTAAACACAATAGAGTCCGTAAAAGTAGTTTTATTCTAAGCGTAGCGTTTGATATTGATATGGGTACGTTATTTGCTGTACTTTTTAGAGCAAGTAATGCGATAAGGGAAAATATCGTGTCACTAGTCTTTTCGAACAGAGAAAGTGATGAAAAAGTCAAACGTAAATCTAAATTAGAGCAAAACTATTCGTTAAAGCATGGCATTAATACGTTAATATGTTTTATAGTATTAAAATTCGTAGTCTATCTATTCTGACCACATAATGACAAGATAACAGCAAAATGCTACATAGATAGATACTCCAGCGCCATCAAACACCTCGTGTGTACTGCAGTGCGATTTTGTAACTCTAGTGGGAATCGTTTGGTGTACTTTGCACCTTGGTAATGATATTATTTCGTAATCTAAAATATTATTATAAAAGAGGCGTTGGGTTTTAAGTGATATTAATACATTTACGTAATACAAGGAAACAAACAAAACGTCAAATGGCAAAACATAGCCAGCTATGATTCCTACCAGAGCTACACAATCGCGGTTTGGGAAATGCATCAGGCTTAGCCAAGTTCACTTTCTACAATCTTGATGCCCGTCCTGTACGCGATTATTTGAATACAGAATATCCCAAAAAATGGATTGGGCACCGTGTTTCGATTACGTGATCTCCTCGATAAAACTAACAGAATAACTCAAAAACTATTAGTCAAACTTTGATCAAATTTATATGGAACCACACGAAAAGCACCGCTTTAAAATAAAAAATGAATCATCGAAATCGATTCACCCAAAAAAAGTTATGAGGTAACACACATAAAAAAAAGAACATACAATCAAATTGAGTACCTCCTCGTTTTTGAAGTCGGCAGAAAATAGACATAAGTTTTTACAAACTTAAGTTGATCCAACTAATATTATTTTCACAAAACTAACGACTTTTGTTGTTTGATTTGTGACTTCTATAGTAGCACGGTTAATATGGATTACATTTTTATAAAAAATACTATCGAATTGCGAAAATTTCTGACCACAGTACATAAAGCTGTGATGTACGGGTAAGATTTTTAACATTTTCAAAAATTTGCCTATTATCACTTAGTTAAGAGATATGAATTATTTTTCTTATTTTTAGCAAAACAGTTATTGATTGACCTCTCGCCCTGTACCCGCTTGACGTTAAGTTTCTGGACCTTCTATATATTAACAAAAATCTCTTTCAGAAGTCTTTATTATAAGTTTAGTTTTTATTGTAAGTTTAATTTTTATAATTTTCTATAGCGCTAACGGTTGTAGAAAGTGAAGTTGGCTAAAGTTGTAGGTGTGTGTGTGTATGTGTATGGCGGTGAGGAGGGGGGTGCGCTCACCTGGCAGGTGGGGCAGTGCGGCGCGCAGCCGGCCAGCTCGAGGCGGCGCGGCGCGCGCCACGTGCCCGCCCCCGAGCAGCAGCCGCCGCCCGCCTCGTCGCACTCCGGCTCCCAGCAGTCCACCTCGCCCAACTGGGTAACACCCATCATCATTAATCATTTATTAAAACGTTTATTCTTTGTTATCAGCCCGTAAGTATCCATTATTACAGGCTGGATCTAATTGTACAAAAGAATTTCGATTACACGCGTGGTCCATTGTTAGAACTACAATATTTCAAGTGTCAAAGAGAGGCGTCATAATATGTGTGCGATTTTTTTCCTCCTATAAACGGCTTGACCGATTTTGATGACATTTTTAAGGGATACTTATAGCGTCACCTAATAGTTTTTAACTATAGTTGAACCTGGTAGTTGTAATCAAGATCCAGAAATCACCCGTGCATGTTTTATCTATTACTAACGGTCATTTCTGAATCTCGACAACACCGTCCTACCTACCGGATCAAAATTTGAATCTAAACCACCTAAGGATCCATTAAAACACACTAAAAATTTCATCAAAATCGGTCGAGCCATTTTTGAGTTTTAGCGACACTATCGGACAGCAATTGATTTTTGAGATAAAAAAACGGTAAAACTCCTTTTCTACCTAGGAGACCGTTTGGGTAGGTGCCACCTGGTGCCACCGTCATAATTATTGCTGCTGACAAACAACAGTGCGCGCACTGTTCGAGGGTAAAGCCGCGTATCGATTACGCGCTCCTGGCGCGCGCGCTCTGAATGACCGCTCCAACCAGTGCGCTCCGCGGAACGCGCTTCATATGTTCGAAGTGTATCAAGCTATCAAGTAAGCGCTCCTGGCGCGCGGCAGCCGCTCCAGTGTTTGACCGTTCAAGATGGATGTCGGTCGTGTACGAGCTACTGTCTCAACCGGCGCACGCGCCAAAACTTAAACTACTTTGATGCGCGGTTAAAAACCGACACCAGATGGAACGGCCCGCTCCACGTTCGAGTGCTCCAATGAACAGTTAGGTGCGCGCTCCGAGGCGGTATCCATTTCGCGTGGCTGGAGCGCGCGCCAATGTTCGGCCTCTTGGAGAGCGTAATCGATACGCGGTTTAAAGCGTACAGAAACTCCATCAGAAGTGACAATCCATTTCTGCGCTTCTTTGGAGTTGGTTACAGGTGACCATGAATTGCAGTAGCCGGTTACTTGCAGGTGGACTGTAAGTTCCTTTGTCACTAAATTTTATAGAAAAGAATTTGTATCGTGTGGGTAATAATACATTTTTTTTTACCAAGAAAAACTACGCTTTCGTAATTATGTATTTGTGTCGTAATTAGTGTATATGACTAACAACAAAAAGGTCCAATGGCCTTCGATAGCTGACGGTATACTTCTTCTCACAATACAGTACAGGTAAATAAACAAAGATAATATGTGATTTTCATGTGGTAGGGCTACGCTACAGGAATGTTGTGGTTGTAGCACAAATAAGTCGGCTCGATCGGGGAAGGACCAAGCCCTCACAGAATATCAGCGTAAAATAGTAGCTTAACTTTGCTGTGTTTCGTATGGTGAGTGTAGAGAACCGGGGACCTTTTTTACTGGAAATGAGACATTTTATCTTAGTCCTTTGTGTTTTGATTTAAATTTTAAATCAAGGATAGATGTAGATGTTTATGGGCCACGGAATCAACCTACCATCAGATAGATTGTGTGCTCGATTGTCATCCCCATTCTAAAAAAAAACATATAAAAAGAGATAAATATAGCGATTATATAAATAAATGTTAGACTAACAAGGCACTCGCAGATCTGGCACTGGTAAAGCCAGCGCTCGCCGCTACGGAAGGTGACGTGGTGCATCTCCTGGTGGCGGCAGCGGTAGCGCGCCTCGCAGTGCGGGCAGCACGCCTCCGGCGCCAGCGGCAACGACGCCTCACTGCTTTGCATCTGAACATACAACAAAAACAGTTAGGATTCCTTCAAATTATCAGCCCGTGAAAGTTCCTTGGCCCTTTCCCTTGGCCAATGTTAGATTGGCGAATGCATTGTCCGACGTCTGACGTACCTTCAATTGCTGGTCTGACGTTAAAGAAATGATTATATCGTCTCTAAATCCACAAGGCTCTAAAACCGAGGAAACATTTATAATGACAAGAGCCCTTCAGATGACATCGTTCAAAGAACGGCGTGTAATGTGTAAGAGACCTGTCTCTCTTTAAGACTAACACGTAATGCCTCCTGGTCCTGTAATTATTGTTCTATTATATTTTATTCTACGAGTATTCTTTTCTTTATCCTTCAACTGCCCTTTAACCGCTGAAATAAATGAGTTTTGGATTTCAATTGATATATGGAGGATGTCTACTCCCCCCCCCTCTATTAAAAAATTGCGGTAATTAAGTTCGAGTTTGGATGAAGGCAAACTATGTAATTAAAAATTATATTTTTAACTAACTTCAAATGAGGAGGTCCTCATTTCGACTGTATGATTTTTTATGTGTGTTACCTCATAACTTTTTCTAAGTGAACAATTTGGATGATTATTTTATTTGAAACTAGTGCTTCTGATGTGGTCTCTTATAAGTTTGATCAAGTTCTAACTAGTAGTTTTTGAGTTATCTTTAATAATTTATATTTAAGTCGGTTGTACAAATATTTTAATTTTACCACTTATGTTAATTACAAGGTGTGGTTTACATTAAAAGCGACGTCAAGACTGAATACAATTATATCAAACAATAAACAATGAAAAAGAACAATGGTAGTGTGAAGTGCTGTATCAACGGAGAGTCGATGCGCGGCGCCGCGCCGTAGCATTGATTTCAACGTCTCGAAGGTATTCGACAACTACGGCCGCAGTATGTGGGCGGGCATTATCATGCATAAAACAAACCTATCTCTATATTTAAAAATCAATTGCTATCCGTTAGTCTCGGACCGATTTTGGTGAAATATTTTGTGTATTTAAGCGGGTGGTTTATATTCACAATATGATCCAGAAAACATTCGTGCGTAGCCGGGACGGATCGCTGGTCTACTATAAAAGGGACAAATTACACTACAATTTCTTCCAAAATCTCAGTGACGCGGAGTACTGTACGTACCCCCATACAAATACCTTCCCGTATAGTGTTGCCATCTCTTAAAATGAAAAAGCCGGACTCGGCGCTCCAAAAAGCCGGACTTTTGGCCCTAAAAGCTGGACAGTAATTTTTAGCCAAGCATACCTTTCTGAGGCCATGCAGCCAAAAAACTCACCAACTCCAACCCCCCGAGAAAAAAAAACTAAAATACTTTTTTTTTATATAGGATCGAGTGACAAACGAGCACACAGTCCACCTGATAGTAAGTGGTTGCTGTGGCCCATAGACGTCTAAATTTATCCTCAATAAAAAATCAAAATGTAGATGCGTTGTCACTCGTTAGGACTAAAATGGAATGCCTCTTTTCCAGTAAAAAGGGTCTCCAGTTCTCTACACTCACCATACGAAACACAGCAACATTAAGCTGCTATTTTACGCTGGTACTCTGTGAGAGCGTGGTCCTTCCTCGGTCCAGCCGACCCATTCGTGCTACAACTTATAGCTGCAGCATGGCTCTACCACGTACAAAATCGTTACATACGTTAATTGTTTATTAATCAATCACAGCACAGTTTCAAGTGTATAAGTTACTTATTTATTTATTCTGCAAGCGATGCGTGCAACGCGTTACACTAACAAAAGCCGGACACATAAAAATTTGGCCGGACACAACCCGAGAAAGCCAAACATGTCCGTCTTTATCCTGACAGATGGCAACCCTATTCCCGTACCATGTCTGACCCTTCACTATGTCTCTTTTCCAATGATGTTGCACTGAGCGTACCTCTTCTCCGGGTGTCTCCACACTTTAATTCTTCCATCATCTAGCTTCATGCAAAATATGGGCTCATTTGTGAATATAACTTGACTCCAAGCTTCGTCATTCCAATTTTCGTGATTGCGAGCAAACTTAGGTCGAGCTACTCGATGGTATGCGGCAAGAAGGCTGCTGCCTCTAGCAGGCAAGTGTGAATTTATACTTGCGTATTTCAGTCTTTTTTTACAGTTGTTGTGCTAACTGTAACCCCTCGAACTGTTTACTCTCGAACTGAAATTCTTGATTCTCTCGGTTTTTAAGAACGATGGTAACGATGAACCCTTCATCTCTGGCCACAGTTATTCGTTCACGTTCCTGTCCTGCGAGTCTCGTGTACTGTCCGGTCTGCTTGCGATATCTTTTGACAACTCGGTATATAACATATTTTGATCCTCGTAATGTTTGGGCCACATGTTTGTAGCTGCGCCCACTTACGATGAAAGTAACACATCTGGCATTCTCAGTTAATTTGAAGTAAAAATTCACACTTATCACGCTAAATAAGACAGTCAAGGCAAAAATTTAAACAAAACCTAAATTTAAATTCAAATCATCAACACAAAAGTTGGCAAATTTTTTCCCATTGTGAAAGAACGCAATGTTACGCACTGAACATTCCAAAATATTCCTAAACTTTTTTTTAATAGCATTTACTAATATTTTTATGCAAGATGATTACAACAGGAGAAATTAATCCTTTTTTTGCGTTCCTCTATATTTTTCCATGAGTGTACATGACCTTATTGTACCTACACTTAGTCACAGATTAATTAGTAGTTACTACGTAAACTTAGTGCGTGTTATATTTGCGATTGGCTAGGTCGATTAGCATAGTGGCGTGGTTACCGCGAGTGAAGTGTTGGTGTGCTGGTCGCAGGCGCAGGGCGCACGCACGCAGGCGGCGACGCCGGCGCGGCACGCGCACGCGTGGCAGCCACCGCCCTCCGCCCAGCGCGCGCCGTCCGCCATCACGCGCCCCTGCCACGAACAACCTGCGCATGCATCGCACCACTCACTCTCAACATAGTAGCTTAATGCTGCTGTGTTTCGTATGGTGAGTGCAGAGAATCGGAGACCATTTTAACTGTAAGCAAGGTATTCCTTCTCACTCCTCAGGGCAACGCATCTGCATTTTGTTTCTTAATTGAGGATAAATGTAGATGTCTATAAGGCTATAGCATCTACCTACCATCAAGTAGAATGTGTGCCCGTTTTTCAGTCTTTATTCTACATAAAAAAAACACTAACGCCCGCCAACCCGAGAGGTAAGCAGCAAGATACTACGGAATTCCATTTGGAATGTTTCACTGATCTTCGCCGTGTGGTGGCGGTGTAAAATCTACAAATCTATGTTTCACACCGTGAGTCATACTAGTCACTTTTTTATTTCATTCATCATTCATTCATCCATCACAGCTTATCAAAGGCCCACTGCTGAAAATTGGCCTCATCATAGATTGCCTCATAACTCTTTGCTATAATTGCCACGTTTGACAGTCGGGTTGGCAACCGCAGTTTTTATTTTTGAGTTGTTATTAGGAAGACACTGCTGCCCATCTCCCAGTTTGTTTCCCTCGGTCACCTCTTACGATAACCATAGTACGATATAAACTTAGTGGATATTTTCACACTGCCACCACACGGTCAATTAATTTAACTTTTTTCAATTGTTGTGTCATTAACTACAAGGCATTCGGCCAAAAAGCAAACATTAAATGCACATTTATTAATATCCGTTAAATAAATATGGTCTCAATTTTTTGCATTATGTTGATGCGTCATATACTGCAAAAAGTCTTGAATATTTTAGCTGCAGTTTAACCCCTCAGAGTGAGGCGATAGTGAATAATATCGCTCGCTATACGTTGACTGCAGTTGTCAATAAACTGCATAGCCTCGCACCATCTTACCACCAGGTCAACTGTGAGTTTGTTTGTCATTTGAGTATATAAAAAAACACACAAATATCCTTAAGATTTTTAACATTTTTTCACCATTGATTCAAGTAACGAATGGTGAAAAAATGTATTTATATGACGGTATTTCATCGTTTCAGTAAATTGTTTCACACACGTAGACTTTTCTTTCATAAAATCATATTATTTTTATCGAACGCATGGTTAAGTTCCCGTTGAAAATTTCTCGGGGGATAGTGATTTTTTTAACTGAAAGTATTTTTTCTCAGGATAAGCTTAAATTCGAAATAAAATGAAGGTAATTTATGGCAATATTACTTTAAATGAGTATCCACACCGGCGTGGCATGGATAAAGATGCAGACTCCAAAAAGTTACAAGGAGACTCCAATGAGAGTTTATTATTAAGTGGCGAAGCTTGCGAAGTCACTTATTGATTTCACGATGTCTGTCCGTCTGTCCGTCTGTCCGTCTGTCCCACGATTATCTCGAGAACGGTTTCGAATTTTCAAATTCTGTTTTCAGCAATCGATTACTGATCACCCAGGCATCTGAACCTCCTATTTTGAAACTGATTGCTCAACGGCCACCGTTAGAAACCGCTACAAAGCTGATTGCTTCGCCACTTTGCTATGCTGTTAGCTTGCTAGGTTTATTTAATTTATTACCATAATTTAGCGATTGAGCAATCGGAACTAGCTCGTGAGGATATAGACCACCAATAAGAGGTTTAAATAATTCGTGTTTTTAGGGACTTTAACTTTTTCCATTCTCCTATAAAGTTTATTTTAAATCTCCTTGTTGTATCTATGTCATGTTTTAAGGTTCTTTTGATAGGAACGGTGTAAGCTTGCCAGCCTTTATAAATACACAGTAAAGGTAAATAATATAAAAGAACAAACTTGCAGACATACAATTATCCACTTAGTATGACTACTAATTTTTAATTAACATAATCAACTTCAGGTCATGGATGTGAACAGCAAACGTCAAATATTTGTTAAAAGTTAAAAGATATTAAAAACAAAAAACAATTTGTTACATTTGGCCTTTTGTTCCTATACATTGAGTAAGGTTCAATAAAGAGCAAGTAAATAATTAATTAAGTCGCAATAAAAGTCATCACACGGCATTTAAATGAAATACTTTTTCGAATAATCGGTAATCATTTAAAAGAATTTCATTGTATTTCTACGTAATGCACTAATTTCTCTAAGGTACTCACTGAGTTCACAAGGCTGCGTGTCACATTCACATTTAAAACCACCGTCAGTGTTGACGCAGCGCGCACTCGGGTGGCATGTGTGAAATCCTTCTATACACTCATCAACATCTGAAACGCAAAACAGTCGTTTTTCATATCCTTATATAATATAGAAAAATTAAACACAATTTCATACTTAAGTATGAATTTACGCAAAGCAACATGATGCCATTTATTACACAGGTTGTCCCAGAAATCAACGTCAAGCCGGAAAGGGCCAATAAGTCAAGTCGTGACAGTTATTAGAAGAATATTGTGGCGGATTGGGATTATTTTATTAGATATAGTGGACTGTATTGAGATTCTAAATCCCCTGAAACGTTCAGTTACCGCAGTCACAAAATCACACCAAAAACAGCAATAAACTACTCACGGTCTTACTAGCCAGCCTCCCAAGATCAGCAAACGTTGACAGCTCCTGGTAGCTTCTTCTACACGGTAGAATACACTAGCAATTAGATTGTACACGGTACACTCTGGAGTAGTCCCTTTTTAAAGTTTTTGGAGAGATGTTCACATCACGAACACAAAGAGAATGTGTATGGCTTGTCTCGCCTCCTACCCTCCTCTTCTCTTTTTTTTAACTCCACAGATTATTACAACGCATATTACGTCGCAATGTTGCCACTAGGTGTGACCGGCGCTCCGATCGTAGCAGATCATTGTGCCTCGGTATAAATTTTGTGAGTTGCGGTTTATTACTGAACACACCCCCCACCGAAACCATCTTGATGGTTTCTCCTAACTATATGAAAAAGATATTAGAGAAAATATTATAACTTAAGCTACGGAACATGCAAAATAACGCTGAGACACAGAATGTCCTCAACGAGAAAAAAAAATATTAATACACGTAAAAACTAATTTGAATAAGGTAGAGGACTCAGTTTATTAACTGGTCTCTGTAGAGTACTCTTTTGAGTGCGAAGCGTAACACAACGAACAATCCCATCTGGACCGGGGTGAAGAGCCTCAATTCTACCCAAAGGCCAATTGCACGGCGGTACATTATTAGTTTTTATGATTACGAGATCACCTATTTTTATATTAGATCTATCCGAATGCCACTTTGCTTTCTGTTGCAGCGTATTTAGATATTCGTGACTCCATCTACGCCAAAACATTTGTGAACATTTTTGAATATATTGCCAACGTGATAATCGATTTATTGTTATATCCTCTACATTATACTCAGGTACTGCTGTTAACCCTTTTCCAATTAGAAAGTGTCCCGCAGTCAAAACGTTGAACTCATCAGGATTATCACTAGCTGGTAACGGACAAAGCGGCCGCGAGTTGAGAATCGCTTCTACTTTACAAAACACTGTTGTGAGTTCCTCGAACGTCAAACTTTTTTCTCCTACGGCTCGCGTTAATAGATACTTGGCGGATTTAATTCCAGCTTCCCAGAGCCCACCCATATGTGGTGCACCAGGGGGATTAAATCTCCATATAATTTGTCGTTTTGAGCAACCCTCTAATATATTGTTTTTTTGTTCGAGCATAAATCTTTGTACTTCGGTTAAATGCTTACTAGCAGCTATGAAATTAGTTCCGCAATCCGAATAAAGGAAGGAGCACACACCGCGTCGCGCTACAAATCTGTCTAAACACGCGAGGAAACAGTCCGATGACAACGACGATAAGACTTCAAGGTGTACAGCTTTTGTCGAATAACAAATAAATAATGCTAAATATGACCGTTCAACCCTAGCATTTCGTCGTAAACTTTCTTTTGTAAAGAACGGACCACCGAGGTCCACCCCTACATGCTCAAAAACATTACAAGGTATCAATCGGGCTGCTGGCAAAGGTGCCATCTCAGGCTGTAAGAGCACTGGGTTGTGTTTAAAACAAATTTTGCATTTGGACAAAACTGACCGAATAATGCGACGGGATGCTAAAATCCAAAAATTTTGATTAATAATGTTTTGTAAGGTGCGTGGACCTACGTGTAAATATTTTTTATGTAAATATTCAATAAGTAACAAGGTAAATCTACTATTTTTAGGTAATAAACGAGGATGCTTCGCGTTATAAGGTAACGCTGAATAATTTATTCGACCCCCCACCCTGAGGTATCCGCGTTCGTCAATAAATGGAGATAATTTTCTCAACGACGGAACGTACTTTGTGCCCTTTGACAATCTATTTATTTCATTTGCGAGGTATGCACTTTGTACTAATTTAATTAAAACATCTTGGGCAGTATTTAATTCGTTAGTCGTCAGTATTGATTGCTTCGAGTGACCGGATTTGAGTCGGAACCATCTCAATATTCGAGCAAACGTACGTTGCAGTTTATAATAAGAAGAGAAATTGGAAAAGATTCGGTCACAGAACTCTAACTTAGTCTCCTCTATCGAATTATTTTCATTTGTGATTAAATTGAAGGAGCCTAATGTATGATTTGATTTCATTTCGGGTGTATTACTTTCATGTTGGTTGATAAATGTTCTCACTGGCCACTGCGAATAGTCGTCGTACAACCAAGATGGGCCCTTCAACCACTGCTCACTGCACTCCACGAGCTGTGACGGAGACGCTCCGCGCGAGCATATGTCTGCCATATTGCACTCACTACTCACGTGACGCCAACAGTGTGGAGGTAACACTTCACATACCTGAGTAACACGGTTACTAACAAACGGCTTTAATTTGTAAGCTTCTGTCTGAAGCCACGTCAACACGATAGTCGAATCGGTTAACGCAGTAATACGAGTAATTTTTACACGAGTTAAAATGTCACGGACATATCTCATAGTTAATGGTTTGACGGGGGCTACTTTAGATTTTGCTGTCACCAGGCGTACTTTAGTTTGACCTCTATCGTTACGACTGATCACATACACACAACTAGCATAACCGCGAGAGCTTGCATCGCAAAAGGCGACCAATTCACATTCGGTCTGTTCTGGTAGCAGCATATGTCTATCTATCTTGATTGCCGTTAGTCGCGGGAGATCATCAACGTAATTAAGCCAGCGCTTAGTTACGTCAGTTGGCAGCTGCTCATCCCATCCTATGCCCAGCTTCCATAAATCTTGCATTATCTCTTTCGCGATGAAAATGCACGGTGAAATAAAACCCACGGGGTCGTAAATAGAAGCTAATAATTTTAAAACAGAACGTTTAGTTGTTACTTTATCAGTCTTATCTACTGTGAAATAAAAACAGTCAGTCAAAGGGAACCATTTCAGACCTAGCACTTTGACTGAATATTCGTTACAATCTTTCATAAATGTAACAGGACACTCTCGGTTTTCTAACGGAACGCGTTGTAAAACTTTTGCACTATTACTCGCCCACCTTTTGAGTATAAAGCCACCGGAATTAAACATCTCTAAAAGTTCATCTTGTAACCGAGATATCTGTGACAATGAACTACAAGAATATAGAATGTCATCCATGTACACGCCCTCGCGCACAACCTTTGCAGCGAGTGGGAAACGTTCTTCCTCGTCATAGGCTAACTGTAAGAGGGTGCGGATAGCTAAGAACGGTGAGCAACTTAAGCCGTAAGTGACAGTTTTTAATTCATAAACGTCAATGGCATCGTTAGGCGAATGACGATACAAAATATGTTGATAACATCTATCTGACTGATTCAGTTTAATTGCCCGATACATTTTGCATACGTCACAAATCAAACAATATTCAAACAACCTAAAATTCAATATTATAGCCCCAATATCTCGATACAGATTAGGCCCGGTCAATAGAATATCATTAAGCGAAACGTTCGTGGACGTTTTAGCCGAGGCATCGAATACCACACGCAAAGGAGTAGTGGAACTACTGGGCTTAAGTATACTGTGATGAGGTATCACATATTTGCTTGGGGTGTCCCCCGAATAAAGCTCCATGTGCCCTAGATTTTCATATTCGCACATGAACTCTGAATAGGCTTGTCGTAATACAGGTGAACGATTCAACTTGCGCTCGGTGAACAAGAGTCGCCGCTCGGCTGCCGCTCGTGACGCGCCCAACGGAGGCGGGTCTGGTATGAATGGTAACGGCACTGAATAGGTACCATCCTCAGTACGACTATAACGAGCCACGAAAATGTCTTCCGCTAATTGTTCCAAAGGATTAATCGAGGGTTTGCTTGGCAATTCTTCGATTTCCCAAAACTTACGCAACGTTTGATCTAAAGACTCTTGTTCATCAAATGAGACTGATAAATTATAATTTTTTAAATTGTCCTTATCATTGCTATAAAGTTTACCACTTACAACAAACCCGAAAGCGGTATCGATCACGCTTGGTATATCCGATGAAATAATATAAGGTTTATCCTTAATAAGTTCCGAAACTATATCATTGCCCAATAGTATATCGATACGCGAACGCTTATAAAATAATGGATCAGCTAAATTAAAATTCTTATATTTATTAATAACGTCCGAGTGGAATCGAACGTTAGGCATATCAGCAGATACCTTAGTCACTACGACCATGTTCAGTGTAAAACTAGGTAGGTCAGTGTGTAGGGACCTTAATGTGCATGTAATCATGCCGTGATTTTTTACAGCCTCTCCACCGAGACCATAAATATTAAACGAACACTTCTTTCGAGGTAAGCCCAAACGTTGAGCACACTCAGTTGTAATAAATGAGCTCTGAGCTCCAGAGTCAATAACTGCACGGCAGTATTGAAGCTGGCCGCTACTATCAATTACTAACACGCGCGCCGTTCCCAATACAACACCGTAACCCGAGTGAGCGTTATTGGAATGAAGCGTATCTATCGTATAACGCTCTGAGTCACTCATAGCCTGAGACGAGACGAGTGCTTGTTGCACTTGCGAGTCAGAGCACAATGGACGGGTGGATGTTGGCACGAGCGTGTCGCTCACTGGCTCCCTATGCAATAGATAATGATGTAGTGACGCACATACACCACAAGACATCTCACTTTTACAAGTTGAGGTATCATGATTTCCTTTTAGGCAATTATGACACAATTTTAAGGTATTGACACGGTCAATCCTTTTATCTACGGTCAATTTACGAAATTGATCGCACCTATAAATCATGTGATTTTGATTGCAATGCGCGCAAATTATTTTTTTTATTTTTATTATAATTTGACACATTAGTATTTAAAACTGTCTTTGAATAACTTTTGTAGTGGTTATTATTGTTGCCTATGTAATTGTTACATATAGACTTATTTCTTGATTGTAACGACATCGTACTATTCGATGAATGTTCGAGTACTTTAACTTGTTTATTTACAAAACTAATTAATTCCGAAAAAGATGGAAGTGAATTTTGATCCCGATTTTCTTCAAAAAGCCTCCTAGTATGCGCATCCAACCCACGTAAGGCTAAATGACAAAATAAATAGTCATGTAAATTTTTAATTTTTAATGCCTCGATGGCTTTAAAAGAGTGATCGAATGTTTCGATAAATAAAGTAAGATTTGCGGTAGTGTCTTTATTTAACGGCGTAAAGTTTATCATTTTATCGATGTACCTACCCACGAGTATTCGATCATCTTGATATTTATTACATAAACTTTGCCATACGACAGTATAATTAGCGGCTGTTATGGGCAATTTTTTAACAATGTTTAATGCCGAACCTTTAACACATGAAAGCAAATAGTGAAACTTATCTATTTCATCGAAATCTCGATTGTGGACAAGTGATACAAATGTATCGTAGAATGTGGTCCACTTCTCAATATCACCATCGAATTCAAATAAACGTAATTTAGGTAATGACGGCCTTACATCACTCCTATCTTTCCTACTGAGGGATGCCTCCTCGTCCGGTTTTAATCTTAAATATTGCAACCTACATGCCTTATAAAGTTCATCAAATGTATCTAATTCTCGCGTTGACAATCTTGTCTCCGGTTTTAATGATATATCTATTTCAATAATATTTAACACTGTTTCTTCAAACTTTGAGCGGACACTTTCTAATTCGGAATAATCGGCTAAGAAATTCTGAATTTGTGTGGGATCATTTATTTGGGATCTCGCGATATCGAAAACCTTTTGTAATTTAGCAAATAGGTATTCCTTTTTAAAAATAAGTGTTTGCCTTTTTATTTGTAATTTATCCGACATTATGAACAAATTACAAAATTAATACTTTATAAACGCACCGCGAGCAATGGACATCCAGGTAAAAAAGAGGCAAATTAAATAAGGGATATTAAATTAATTAAATGCGTAGTTTTACTCAAATATATGACGTCCACGGGACGCGATCACTAATTCGAATATATGCGGCTCGAAGGCCAGAAATGTGGCGGATTGGGATTATTTTATTAGATATAGTGGACTGTATTGAGATTCTAAATCCCCTGAAACGTTCAGTTACCGCAGTCACAAAATCACACCAAAAACAGCAATAAACTACTCACGGTCTTACTAGCCAGCCTCCCAAGATCAGCAAACGTTGACAGCTCCTGGTAGCTTCTTCTACACGGTAGAATACACTAGCAATTAGATTGTACACGGTACACTCTGGAGTAGTCCCTTTTTAAAGTTTTTGGAGAGATGTTCACATCACGAACACAAAGAGAATGTGTATGGCTTGTCTCGCCTCCTACCCTCCTCTTCTCTTTTTTTTAACTCCACAGATTATTACAACGCATATTACGTCGCAATGTTGCCACTAGGTGTGACCGGCGCTCCGATCGTAGCAGATCATTGTGCCTCGGTATAAATTTTGTGAGTTGCGGTTTATTACTGAACAAATATAAAAAAAATAGGTCATTTACTTTTCAAATTACAAGGATACAAAAATAAAAAAAAATGTTTGAACTGTTTGCCTTCAGCTGCAATGCAAGCTCTACATCTTTTTAAAAATGATCGCGTAATAAGACAGGCGTATCTTCTCCAGTTGATGTATTCAGCGGCTTCTGCAATTCTTTGGCGCAGCTCGTCTAAATCTTGAATAGGTTTAGAGTACACTTTATTCTTTATCGTACCCCAGTAAAAGAAATCTATGGGGATTAAGTCGGTCAAAAGGGCAGGCCACGCAATTGTACCACTGAGAAACTCTCGTACTATGAGAGCATAATGCACTGGGTAGCCATCTTGTTGATACCATCAATTCTTCCAATAAATTTGGTAAATGGTTCTGTAAGAACTCCAAATAACTCTGGCCATTTAAGTTCTCCGGCAACTCGATTGAATCAATAACTTTACTATTCAAAATTCCCGTCTAATTGTTTGGTACTACGATCTGTCTTCACGCATCAAAGGAGATGTATGAAATTAGGTTGTTGATATCGTTTGTAACAGTTATACAAAATATGTAGGTAATATAACGATAAATTAAAAGCATAATTAAATGGTTTTTATTTTTGTAGTGTATAGGACAATCATAAAAACATTTTTTAAAACTGAAAAACGAAAGCTAATGCTTTTACTATAGCAAAAACAAAACGTTTTTAAATATTTTTATGTATTTTGTCTATGGCATTAGATAATGAAGACTATTTTTTGTAATAAATAGCCTTCAGTATCAAAAAAACTCATAATATTGAAACATTGAGGCGAATCTGTAGAGATTAATAGTGAATAAAAGAAATCTATTTAGAAAATCGATTGAATAGGCTAATCGTACGTTATTAAACTAAACAAAATATTTGAATAATATTGGACACGATATAAACTGTATGGTCTTGATCATTGCCTGTTTTGAAGGGGACTTAACTTGGTAACTTCGAGTTTAAACTTGTCATGCGTATTTGGCATTATTGTGGTGTTTGTGGATATAGTTCGTGTTTTTATTTTCGTGAATTAATTTAACTTGACCCCTGGGTTTTCTCTCGATTTACAGGACAGTAAGTTACTGCGCCCACATAATGATAATGATTAATAATGTGTTACTTGGATTTTGAGAGGAATAGAACAGACAATGTACAGCCTCGGGCTGCTTTTCTGGATGACATTTTATTAATAATTGCAGAAAATAATTAAACAATTAGAAAAGTTTGAGTTATAATTTATTTTATTTAATAATAACTAAAAAACGGCTTCCTTTTGTGTCTTTTTTTCCATTTATTGAAACAACTTTTCACCAAGAACGAGTGATTTTACGACATAACCTACAAATAATAAAACAAAATAAAAACAAAACCCCAGGTCCTACAAAAATAGGATTTTTTGTCATACGTAACAAATATTTAAATCTTCAAATTAAGATATATGTGAACTTTGTTTACGCCAGGCCCAAGCTTGTATGGAACGAAGTTCATCTCCTTTGGATTATCCACGTGCCATTCGTGCAAATTGTGGAGGTTCATGTAACCGCCCTTTTTAAATGTTGATAACCATTGAAATTTTTCATGGTGCATCTGCAACATCGTTCGACAAAATCGCACTCCCTGTGGGTAGTCTCGGAGTAGCAGACTTTGTAGTATTGCACAATGTGCCTACGCATCCCTGTTTCGCCAGAGTGGTGTCTCTATCTGTTTCACTCATACATATGAAATGATGTGTTAATCTGTCTCGCTCCTAGATAAAAGTAGCGCCACAATCTATCTCGCTGACACTTAACAAAGTAGAGTCACCATCTGTCTCGCTCACACTAGTCAAAATAACGTCACTCTTCGTTTCAATCGAACTTGTATAAAATCCAGCTTCATTAAAAAAAAAGAATTTTCTCAATTAAGAAGTAGCAATTAGTAAGTGTCATATCATTTTGGAATCCAAACTAAACGCGCCATCTTTTAATGTTACTTGCTAAAATAGTGTAGTACATTTTTTTACAGTAAAGTCGGTTAAATTTGGGTGATGTAATTATTTTGAATTCAATATTGGGCAAAAATCTAACATTTTATTTAAAACTGAAGCAGTTATGTTTTAATTTTTAACTGTAATTTACAGAAAGGTTATTTATGGTTATATCACAGAAAAGCAACTGATGAAAAAATGATATTTGTAGTCACTGGACTTGAAAGATGATTACAGTGTGTCAGTTTTTGAGATTTATTTTTTAATCCTTATAATTTGAAAAGTACACGACCAAGATGTTTTTTTATATTTTTCTAATAACTGTCACGACTTGGCGTTGACATTGATTTCTGGAACACGTTATATAAAAAAAACTATACCCAATTAAAATATTTGAAAGAATATGATGTTTATACGATTCCTTTCATTACAAAGAAAAAGGTGTTCCATAACGGGAGATTATTACGATACAATAACTGGAAGGTTAAAGGTTTGCTGCTTTTTTTACACATAGGGAGATGACCGATAGAGACCATAGATGGCCTATGTTCAACAGTAGGCTCTTATGGGCTGAAAAGAGATTGGTGGGGCGAGGAGCATCTTTTACCTTCTCTCTTGAATATCGGTCGCAGCAGAACTAGTTGTGGGAGCGAGCTGGGAATGTTGAGATAGAGAGCGTATAGGCAGTTTGAGGCCGCGAAGGAAGGCGCGCCTTGTGATCTGTGCGCCCTACTTGAGAAGGAGAAAGGAGAGGAGTTGCCATTTCCCAAGGAGGGTCTGTAATTGGGCAGTCGGGGCCGTGAATATGTGCGAAAGCGTTCCTATAGCCCTGCCAATATGCAGTGAACGTTGAAAGCACCATGGAGTTGTAGTTAGTGCGAGTCAGACATAATCGGTCCTTGTCCCCGTGAGACGGATATGCGTAGGCATTTTCCATATAAAAAAACGCGTACAAGCGCTGTGATTGTGACGGGCTGGTTGGGGCAAAGCGCGTGTTGAGGCAGACCGCGTACGGTCACTACTGTTGCAGCGGGTGGGTAGCGTACCTTGGCAGTGGTCTTGCGGCGTGTCGCGTCGATAGCCGTCGTGGAAGACGCAGTAGTGGGAGCCGGGTATGTTGAGGCAGAGCGCGTACGCGCTTTGCTTATAGCGGGTGGGTAGGGTACCTTGGCAGTGGTCTTGCTGCGTATCGCGTCGGTAGCCGTCGCGGCAGACGCAGTAGTAAGAGCCGGGCGTATTTAGGCAGAGCGCGCGCGGCACGCAGGCGCCGGGCGCCGCGCACTCGTCTACGTCGCGCTCGCAGCGCGCGCCGCCGAACCCGCGCGCGCACGTGCACCGCTCCGGCGCCGAGCACACCCCGCCGTTCAGGCAGCCGCCCGTGCAAATCGCTGCAAACAAATTGTTTTTAAATAGAATAAGTGTGATTTACGAACACATAGTCCAAGTAAGTGGATGCTGCGGTCCACAGACATCTACATTTATCCTCGATTAAGAATTAAAATGCAGATGCGTTGTCACCCCTCAGATTAGTTCTCGATGGTGGAGAAGATGGAATGCCTCGTTTCCAGCAAAAAGGTCTACACATACACATAGGTTAGTTTTTAACTGCAACTTTGAACGTCAATTACCAAGAAAATCTCAATTATGTAACGTGTGAAATTAGAAAAAATATTGTAGATAATCGTAGTCTGAAAATTGTTATTCATTATAATTACATATTTTTCTTCCTACCCTTATCCCAGGTCATTTGGGGTCGGCATATCATGTCTTCCTCTTCCATTCTCCTCTATTAGTCGTCATCTCTTCACTCCTTTCTTACACAAATTATCCCTAATACAGTTAATACATATTTTTTAGACTTACCCAGGCGTGTCACTTTGTAAAAATCTGAGGTATGGAAAATGGTGGCGCGATTTTCAAATTTGTTCGCATTACTCGTGGGGTATTAAGGTTTAAGAGTTTGCAGTGTATATACTCAACTTATTTATTGAACTATAAGATGTGGGGTATTGAGGTTTAAGGGCTTGCGATTTATTTATATGGGGTTTGTAGTAATATGCGATTTATTTCCTAATTTCAGCTATGGAATTCCATACCTTGAAAAACTTGAGGTATGGAGTGCTCCATACCTTCCATAGTGGAAGTGACACCCCTGGACTTACCTCTACTATTATATATTCATCCATTTTCATACTTGTTGGTTTACTTCCTTCACATAACATGCCCATAGCATGCTAGCCTACCATTTCTCAACTTTATTGTACATTCATTTTCCAATAAAAATACAAATTCCATTAAGTATTTAAAAACAATTGAAATAAATGCGACATACGCTTCATTTTATTTATATTAGAACGACATTTATTCAAATTCTATTTACAAAAAAGAGGATCCATTACTCTGTTCCGTCTCGTAGGTGACTTAAGAGGCGACAGTGGGAAACACAGAACACTAATACCCTTAGGCGGGAAGAATGTCAACTTCAAACAAAGAAAATGGCACCAATAATGCACGCCATCTCTGTCGTGCCCCCTAAAACTTTTTGCGCGGGAATTTTGACACGTGATTTTTTTTTAGTTGTCGTCTTGGTTGTTTCGTTTCAAAAATGGCTTAAGAATGTAAAATACCATATAGATAGATATAGCTTGTAGTTTTTCGTTTCAATGATATATATTGCTAAATTAAAACGAAAACAAAAGCACAAAGTTATTTGTAAATTATGGTACTTTACATTCATAAACCACTTTTGAAACGATTAGCAATCATTTTAATATAAAAAAGGAACTATTTTTCAAATAAAAGTGGTTTTTGAAATACATATTTTTTATTTACATTACATACATTGGTACATAGAAAAACCGTTGGTACATTGATGGACGTAAGTGACGGAGTAATTAACTAATTTTTAACATGGCATATGTAACATGACATTTAAGCAAAATGGAAAGTAAAAGTACATTGGTTTTATATAAAAAAGATTAGACAATCTAATATAAACACTTTTTTCTAACAAGAAAACATTATTTACATTCACATTCTACAAACAAGGCAATAGCTTTGCAATATTATGTCTAAACTCCAATAACCTGATTATATTATAGATGCCACCAATAATATTACATTTGTAGAAATTATTTTCGTTATGTTATTGTTATTGACTGCATTAAAAACTAATAAGTCAACATTTTCATGTCATTAAGTAGCACTACCTGCTGCAAATCCATCCACGAAAAACAAAAAGGATAAAGATATGTTGATAAAAATGAAATATCATCTGAGAAAAATTAACAAGCTTCAAAAAACTGTAAAGCATCTAAAGAATGAAGCATTTCTCAAAGTATTGAGCAAAAATGATTCCGTAAATGAAATATTAAAATGTAAAATATCCCCCTCTTTTTCAAACTGCTCTTCAAAGAAAAACTGATATCCTGCAGAATAAATAAGATGTTACATGGATATATACGTAATTAACTAATTTTTAACTTTATGCATGTAAACAGTTCTGAACAGCTCTTAACTAAATATCGATTTAATAGTTAAGTAGTTATTATTATTTTTCGATAATACAGGTAGATGTCTAAGTGTCACAGCATTTACTTGCTAAATTCTATAAAAAATACAAATGTATGTGTTATCCATATCCCACAGTAAACTTAAAAGTTAGTTGCATAGCAATACGATTGTTTGTAGAGTGACTAATAAACTATCCGACATTAAACGATAAAAAGACTGTAAGGTATGATTCGCACCAGTAAAGTGATAGTTTCGAAAATACTATATTCGAAATCCAAAAGTGGCTCTATATGGCAAATATTTAAAAAAATAACTTAAATTTAAATCCTACCTGCCTCGCGGAAGCAAGGAATATCTGACCCACTCCGACTAAAACTCTCAGATGTTTCATCTTCACCACTTATCGGCAGGACTACGGGTACACTTTTACACACATCCGTAGCCTCATCAGCGCTAGTCACTCCTTGGCAGCCTCTCTCGAGAGAGGACAAATTCTCCCTCTCCTTTTATCTCCTTATATAATGTCACCACTGAAGTGATTATGACTGTACATACAGAAAAAGTAGTTCCATGTAATATCTTATTTATTCTGCAGGATATCAATTTTTCTTTTAAGAGCAGATGCAGAGTACTCTTCTGCAAATTGCCGATTTTTCAAAATACAAAATCTCTTCATACAAATGTGAAATACGCTATTAAATAAGTAATCTATATTCATATCTTTATGTTCTGGACATTTATCGAGAAACGCCCAATTTATTGAGTTTTTGAACAAAACTTTAATTGTCCCTTTTAATTTTTTTTTATATGCTTCTGCCTCTAAAAAATCATAAATCATCGTAGCACTACTTTCAATACAGTTAATGAGGTTTTTAGAGGCGTATTTAAGGGACTTTTTTAGATCACTATATTCTTTAAAGTCAATAAAAGTATGTGATCTCTCTTGTGTCTCAGATACAAAAATTTTTTTACAAATTTCACATTTGTTGAGATTATTTTTTACTATAAACCCACAGACATAGGCACATGCTTGTATTTCGCCACTGCTTTCTTCCAAGCTACATTCAAATGTAGAATTTACACTTTCTTCTAACTCATCGGTTAAAATTGTGGCATAAGCAGTGTGTGTGTCTGTGGGTGGAGACAATAAAGATTTAAAATTTGTCAATATAACTTGATTTTGGTCTTCTTCACAATTTCCTGTCCCAATAAAAGATAAGTTGCTAAGGACAGCCGTTTTAAGACCCGCAACAAACTGCCCAGCAGTGGGATTTGAATTGCAGCCGCAATTGGCCCGAATGCATCCAAAAAGATTTTCTAACGGGTCCTGCTGGAGCCTTCTTGTTTCCAAACTTTTTATTGATTTATGTTTAGAACTGAGATTTCTTCAAATTCGTTCTATTCCATTGATGGACCATATCCAACCTTCTTGGGATGGAGAAGCTCGTTTGCATCCCAAAAACGTCAATTCTTTAAAAAAATTCTTCATTAAAGTGAAATGTGTGAGATGTGGTGTATTATTTGTCATGTTTGTCGAATATGGTTTCCCCCTTCTTAGGTCTGGTGTGCATGCGTTGACACAATCAAACAGCTTGTCCATATTTGCAATAACATTAGCTGTAGTGACAGCCTCTGAAGAGAGTTCCCCTGTAAACAACACATAATTTAAGATCTTACTATTAGGATTAAAGAAACATGATTTAAAGTATGTTACAAGACAACTCAAAAATAATATCACATATCAGTATCACACAATAAACAATAATTTGTACTTGGGAGAGCCTAGTTCCTTTTTAAGTTAATAATTATTTTAATGGGTGGACATATGTTTAAATATTATACTTTAAATTATAAATTTAATTTACCTTGTGAAATTTTAGCATACATTCCTGCAGCAACTGAGTGGCTTAACACTTGTGCAGCTAGCTTCACCTTCATCTTCTGCTTCGTATTTGGATTTAAATGTTCTTGTTTTAAGCAAGGTGCAAACACAAAATTGGGATTGGTGTTATCTGTTTCATAAAACTCCTTTATATGGCTCCATTTAGCAACACCTGTAAAAAAAATTTGTGTAAATATCCAGTAAATTGGAAATATGTATAATATTATGATTGTAATAAAACAAAATATCTTACCAAATCCAATTTGATCATTTGATGTTATATTTGTTGGACATTTAATGTCATATTTTAAAAACATATTTCTAAAGCATTTGAGCAAATGCGGAGTATCAAAAATGGTAACCACTTCTCGATTATTTAGCAGAATATATGGCTGTTCTACAGATGCTCCCAAGATACTTAAAGCTCTCTTATTCACACCATCCATATCACACACCGTAGCTGAAATATTAATTCCAGCATCAAAACAATGTTGCAGGACCTAGAATGATAAAAGGGTAAATTAATATGGTAAAATAGTACTACTACATATATTGACATAATAACAAATAAAAGACCATAATGCTCACCTCCTTAGAATAATAAAAGTAATTGGTTGTTTCAGCTTTTTACGGATTCCGCCAATCATGAACACGAGGGCATGTGTTGCCATTTGTGGTGACCTGACCTGCAGTGCATGGTCTTGTTAACCCTCAATTATGTCCTCCTTTTTGTTGTAAAACAAATTCTTTTTTATTGACATCTCATCAAACATAAGGATATACTCATTGTCTAAGGGAGTCTGTTGCTTTATTGCTTTTTTTCAAAACATTAAAAATTTGGTCATTAATACCAACTTTCATGTGAAACTTGCTTAATAACGCTTTTAATGAACTAGGTGTTGGCAGGCAAATCATCCTTCTTAATAATTTGTAGCACCTAGGTGACCTTTTATACAGTTTTAGTGCTATTACTTTGGAGTCCATGTTCCATCT